AGAGGCAAAACTGCAAGTAGGTCTTATTTTCAGGGGATGTCCTACTTTTGGGGAAACAGGGTAGTTGATTTTGATTCACAGTGACCCTAAAGGACAGGGCAGAACTGTGTCCGAGGCTGTAAACCTTCACTGGAGCAGAAAGTCTCAGCTCTCACCTACTGAGTGGCTCTGCCTTGAACCGCTGCAACTCCTGGCCTTGAAGATAGCAGCCCTAGGGCCTGAGCCAGCCCACCACCAGGGCTCTTTGGTTGCTCCTTGGGAATTGCAAGTACGTTCCTTCTGTTCATGGGTCCCTAGAAATTGAGGTTAACATGTTTCTATGTTCTAATAGCACATGCATATACCTTTTATTCTAATTAGAGGGAGCTTAGAAGTCATTGGATTTCACAAGGCAATGTTGATTTGTTTTTTATAATGAAAACTGTTCCGTATTGAGATACTTTTTTCATTATCAGAAAATTTCTATGTTGTTTGTTTGGCATCTTTCCTCTTTTAATGTATCACACAGTTAACACTGTGATGTTAAACTAAAATCTGAAGGCAAGAGAAATTAGCTCCTGACATAACAACTCTATGTTTTGTATAATAGTTTTAAAAAGGAAAAAAAATGGTGTTTTTGACTAGCGGTTCTCTAGAAGGGGTGATTTCGCCTCCTGGAGGACATTTCATAATGTCTGAAGGCATTTTTCATTGCCACAACTGGGGAGAGGGAAGGGAAAGACTGAGGACAACTTACTTCAAGTGGGTGGGGGACAGGGTTGTTGTTAAACATCCTAGAACGCACAACAGACCTCTGTGAACAGTTAGTTATTCAGCACCAAAGGCCTTTAGTGCCCAGGTCGGGAACCTCTGCTTGAAATGGCATGCTTTGTCTTATGGATGAACAGGATGTGTACTTTACAGCACCTAATTCCAAAACATAAGATGAAAAGCAGGTGTTTTCCATCCACTCGGGATGTCTGCTTTAGTCCTCTGATGGCTTTCGCTTGCCATCAACGTGCCAGGGTATAGGTGTTTCAGGTATCTCAAGGGTGTAAAAGTTCTGGTTCTCAAAGAGCTCAAAATAGATGATACTATTTTTTTTAATGACCAAATAATATGCTGAGTTACATTAGTAGAGCTAAACATCTCCTAATATCTTTCCTTCGGTGGGCCAGAGAAGGCTTGAGAGAGGAGGTGACGCTTGTAGAAATCTTGCTCAAAGGTTAACCTTCACTCAAACTCTAGTCAGGAAACGACAGCCCAGTCAGAGGGAACAGACTGTGAAAAAGCTTGGAAGCTTGTTCAACAGCAAGACTTGTAAATAGTTTATTTCCTCGGATTTGGGGGAGCAGCTTCACATTTGGTTAACAGGATAGAAAAATCTGTAAGAGAAGGCAGAGCTGATTTGGAGAGTAGGTGATGGCAAGGGTGTTTTTATGTCCACCCACCCCCCACTGCCAGGAGCTTGTTGAAAACCTGCCTGATTATGATTCTTAGAAATGCCACAATGAAAATATCTGGACTTAGGAATAAAGATTTCTAATTTCAATGTTGCCAGTGATTGCCCGTGAGGCCTTAGCACCATATTTCTTATTTTCTTCATATGCAGTACTCGGAACATGGTGACTGAAATGTACCTATCAGGGCATAGTAATGCTGAGCTAAAGAATAAATAATAATTGAATATTATAAGGCATTTGAAAAACTATAGTAGTTAAGCATTCTGGGACTATAGCAACCATTTACCAAGATAAATGTTTAGATACCCAAGTTAGGGTCCTACGATCCCTCTTTTTGATCGCCTCTGAATAGCGCTGACTGAGTCACACCAATCGCTTCCAGGGTGGTGTAAGTAACTTCAGTTGAAACTCTACATGACTCCAATGGGATTTTTATATGCTTTTTACATTTGAAGAAAAAACTAACTTTAGACCAAGACCTCTCATTGCCAAGTACTGCTTTTACTTCCTCTGTTAAATAAATAAACATTACCTTAAGCTTGTTTGCTGAAAATGTATTGGTTAATAAATATAAAATAAAAAATGACCAGAAAATGCTTGTGGCAATTGTGTTGTTTTTAATGATCTTCATAGAGACTTCTCTGCCCACCAGCTTTTGTGCAGGAAACAAGATACGGTTTCTCATGGGTGGTACGACTCACCCATTGGGAGGTCTTTTCCGCTTTAATCTATTTAACTCCAGATCTACTTAGCTCTGGCCCATATCCCAGAATACCATCAGAGATAAGGCTATTATCCTTGCTTTCAGTATTATCCTGGGAAAGTATTTATAAAATTGAACCCTGTCGTACCTGCTGACCCGCTTTTTTAAATGAAGAAAGGGCGGGGATGGAGATCAAGTTCATGGAATTCAGAGGAAGCCCTGGGTCTGACAGCGCAGACGAAGGGGGCTTTCGTTAGAGCCTTTCTCTTGTGCAAAGCAGTTCCATTTTGGACTCTAAGAGAAAGAAGTAGGTAATTCAGATCAGGAAGTTGATGATCACATTGGGTGCTGTGCAGATACGACTATTTCTTTGCTAGCGATTCTGGCACAGGACCCAGTTATCGCAGGATTCATCTGAAAAGGTTTACTTACCATAGCCATTGTTTTTCTCTAAAACTGCTTAAACAGGCTGTGGGGGATTACCTTCAAACATGAATGACCAGTTTAGAAGAGTTAACCATTAATAGTCTTGCCCAACATTTTTTTAAAATTTAGTCATTAATAGCAATAAAACAATTAGTCATTAAATGCAAAAAAGTTTGAGAACAAATTTTAAAACCTTAGTCTCCTCTATGTAGTCTCTCTAAAGAAGGTGGAGAGGCTGACAGCAGTGCCCTGTAGCTTTTAAGTACCTCTTTAACAATGATTTCTATTGTCAAATTGCTTGAGTTATCTTTATATAAAATGGATGCTACATGTATTTATTTTAAGAATACTACTACAGCCCATATATTTAAGCATGGGGTTGATTACCAGTGTTGGGCAGTATTACTGCGTTAAATCCTGGCTTGTGACTTTTTGAAAGTGTTTTTGACTGATAGAACAAGATATGGGTGAGACAAATTCACTTCCATTTGATTGCTCAGACAATTCAGCCATGTTCTTTCTTCTCCACGGCACTTGTCCATAGCCAAGTAAGCACTGAAGTCTTTGTCTTAGGTCACACTATATTGTCAGCGGTTCCCCTAGTGGTCCAGCTATTACTGCTGTAAGACAGATGCAGCATCATTCTGTGCTTGTATTGTTTCTTTCTTTGATAATAAATTGGCCAAATTAGTAATCTGATAAGACCTTCAATTCATCAACTATAAGCAGCCTGTACAGGAGAGACTTTATCAAATTCAGCAGGTCTGCAGCAGCGTGTGCAGCGCTGGAGCTGGATCGCTTCAGTCAAGGATATTGATTGTACAGTAAACTACAAGGTTCTAGGTATTACACATCTATCCCATCACTAAAATAAGACGGATCATGGATTTCAAAGGCTACATCCACCTGAATTTTATACATTATAAGATATATATTAACCATATATTCAGGAAAATGGATAGTGGTTCATATAAGCCATCTAAGGTTGAATTCAAAACTATCTTAAGGTATCTCAAAACCAGGAGTCGCTTTAATCAGTTGATTGATTTTGTTGATTTGTTCAGGTTATTTCCAGGTAAAATTTTTCCTGCCTCCTTTTCAGGGAGAAAAAAGTAATGCATTATCAGTGCATATGTGATATGTGTATTTTAAATAGTGAATAATGCAAAGTGCAGGAAAGGCAGACAGCATGTGTAGTTGAGCATGGATATGTAGCTAAAGAGATCTAGATTTTAATCTCACACTGCCTGTGTGATCTTGGGCAGCAGACATTTGCTTTATCTCCTAGCCTCTGCGAAATAGACTTACTACCACATAGAGTTATAGTAAATGGTATAATGTTACACATCCTCCTGCATAGGGTCTTACAGATGGCAGATGCTCCATAAAGTAGTTCTTGTACTTATTGATGTTATTACCACTCATAATATTAATTGAAACTTGTAGATAACAAGTTGCTGGACAAGAATTCCCATTCAGTGATACAGAACTGCTAAGATAGATAGAATTATTCTTATCGTATCATGTTTGAAAGCTATATATCTTAATATTAAAATATAAAGTAAAATTAAGTTGAATAGTAAGAGAATTTACACAGACTTTTCTACCAGCTAATATGTAGCTTTTCTTTCAACAGGCTCAGCACTATGTAGCTACAACCTAAAGCCTTCAGAATATACTACATCTTCAAAAGCTTCGACTCTTTGCCCCAAACTACCAGTTCCAGCGAGGTAAATTTTATTGTAAAGTTAGTTAACATACAATTTTTTAAATTTATTTTGTAAGTATTAAACTGCATATGTCATTCTGAGAAAATCGTCATTTAATACTAAGGATAGACCAGGTTTGGTACTTTGAAAACAAAATGTAAGAAATAGCAATAGAAAAAATTCTATATAATTTGTATCTTTAAAAATATTCCCACACACAGGCAAACAGTTTTTCTCATTCTCAGATATCTTAAATTTCATTTGGGGTCCCATTTTATTTACTCCTCTTTAATTTTTATGTCATAATAGTTCAGTGCTACAGAATCATAAGTTCTGCAATAAATTTACATGTGGACTCCCACAATTTTGAAAGATCCTTTGAAGTTGATTATCATAATAATACTTATTGGTATTATTTATTTATTTACCTTATAAATTTAAAAAGCATTCCAGTGATGATTCATCATAGCTAGTTTTAGACAATATCCCTTAGATACATTTTCTATTCAGGCTGTTTGCCATATCTTATTCAAGGTCTTTTTCAACAACCATACATTATTAAGCAACGACTGTGTGTTCTGAATACAAAGATGAAACAAGAAATGTTCTTTCTTTGGAAGGCTCTCACAGAAGTAATAGGTAAAGCAAATGTTAAAATTAGAAATAGATTTTTTTAAAGTAAACACATTCTCAAATGTTGAAGAATATTTCCTCAGAATTAGATATGGGATTTGGGGCCTATCTCTTCTTGAGAACCTCACTGTGTATGGCCGAAGCCATCATCTCTAGGAAAAGTGAGTTAAAATCACTTCTGATATCTCAGCACATTTTAGCAAGCTTCCAGGTAAAATATGATGACAGGTTCATGACTACCTTCTTTTGGATTGCTTATGGATGGAACCTGTATTTTATTAACTTGAAGCTAAACTTTTCTGTTGAAAAATAGGAAAAGGATATATATTTAATTGATTTCTTTTTCTTCTAGTCTTGACAACTGAAATTTAAAGTCAATAGACAAAAAATAAAGGAACAATTTTTAAAGATAGTCAGTCAGAGGGACTTAGAAATTATAGCCTTAGACCAACAGGTTAGGAGAGTGCATTCATGAAAACTGAGGACACATGAAGACGATACGACAGTCAAGGAGGTGCTTTGAATAGTCCCTGGAGAGAAAAATGGTCAATGTACAAGCAAGAAAGGTTTGGTGCCCTGCTCACTGCTCTTACCCAGTTTAGGTGCCTGCTCTGAGGGTGGGCCCTTTTTCAAAACCAAAATATGTTAGTAACAGCTGTCTGTAAGAATGGGGTTGTTATGAGCCTACATAATCCTGAAGTATAGGGGAAGGGGTAGATTTAAACTGCAGATCCTTCTAAGCCTCTAAGCCCACATTCAGGACTGCCTGTTGCAAGTTATCGTAAAGTTTGAACCTTGGCTGTATACACAAGCACATCTCTAAGAGCATTCACTTTGAAGACAAAGCAAAGTATTCAGGCCTGGGCTTCAGCAATGGACAGACCTAACAAGGTCATCTAATGACACACAAATTCAAAATGCAAGCACCACCTGAAAACTGACACTCTTTATACAATGCTTAATTACCTTTTCCTTATTTTAGAACCTTGCAATCTTACTGTTTAATCCTTTTAGTCTGAATGAAGTCTTTGGGAAAGTAGATGAGAAGAAATAGTGGATAAAAGGCAAATTAGGGCCTCCGATAATAGAGACATTTACTAGAACGAGAATGCATTTGTCATCGTTAAAATTTGGGCACCGTCCCATTCCACATACTGTATTATAGACCAAGATTCCCATGATGAGTAAGGCCTAGAATCTGCTCTAAAAAACTCAGAGTCTTGAAGAGACCCTGTTTTGAGTGGTTTTTTTGAATGCACTAAAGTATTAGTACTATGCAAAACTTGGATGCAGGCACCTTTTGCATCTTTTTTGCTCTTTTCCTAAGGGCACCCAAGTGGAGCCCAAAGAGCATGAACTTTACATGCAGATAGATGGAGGGGTGGTGGTGGTGGTGGTGGTGGGGGGCGGCGGTGAATTCTACTTCGGCTGCTTTTTGTCAACTTGAATAAGTTTCTTAGCTTTTCTGTCAAAGGAGTTTACTCATCTGTAAAACGAGGATAATAATACCTCTTTCATGGAATGGTTGTAAAGACTTAGATTAGGTAATATATGTAAAGCTTCGATTCGTGTTCTTGGTACTTGGCTTAGAAAGCATTCTCTCTGTCAAATTATAGAACCTTTTTACCCTCAACCCTCTTGGGTACTGTACTGTAGACCTCCCAGGCCTGAAGACAGTGTCTGCTTTAGAGGGAGCAATGATAATCCAACTCTATAAAATACTTATGACACATAATAGCCACACAGTTACAATCCTAACGAGCTTTCACATTTTAAACGCAAATGCCTAGAATGGGGCAGTATTTCACCCAAAGTTCTAGCTCTTTATTGCTAAAATGCTAAACTTGGTAGCAACAAGAAAATAGCCAGCCCATGTAATCACAATACTAACCCTTACATATGCCAGAGAAAACAGAAAGGGCATAAGCAGATTATGCAAATTCAGTTTATTCAGAACACACTTATTTGAGTAACTTTCAGGGCGGTAAAGAATACTGGGTTCTGGGAAAGTAATAACAATATGGAAATAAGAAATGAATAGCTGTGGGGGAGGGGGCATGTTATCTACTATCTATTCATATTTTCTAAATGGAAGACCCAAGATAAGTTAACATTTATAAGCCATTTGCCAAATGCCAGCCACCATGCTAAAATTTAAATATTTATTATCTAGTTTGACCCTATAATGGCGTTGTCCTTATATAATGACAGCCTATAAAGATATTATCCTTAATTTGTAAGTGAAGAAGTAAAGTGAGTTGCCCAAGGCCACACAGATTATTAGGACTCAGAATTTGAATCTAGCATCTTAGACCTTCTACACCATACTTGGGTGTAGTTTGGGGAGCGGAGCAATGTGCAGAAGTGAAAGAAGAGAGAAAGGAGATAAAAGAAAATATTTGAAAACTACTCTATTACAATTAGACTCTTGAACAATACATTTCCTACCTCTTGTGTGCTGTAATTGCCAGACCCCTTTGTTATTATTGTTTCTTAAAGAAGACTTTTAGCTCGACATCACTTGTTATTGCTCAGTATTTAAGGCCTGAAGTTTTAGCATAGTTGTTTGAGATGCAAGCTCCTGCCTTCACTTGTGAAGGTGTAAGGGACAAGAGATACTCGGTCCCATATTTGAGGGAGCTCATTAACTGCAGGAGCCTGTACTTAAGGGCAAAATGGGCAATATGTTTGCCAAAGTAAGATAGAATTTCCCTTTGAAGAGCTGTATCTAAAAATCTTTTAAAAACTCATTATGGATTCATTTTGCTCTTGTTGACGAATGCTTCAATCATGTGAAACAGCATCAGGCTTCTAATAGGACTATATTGACATCTTAAAGATTCAGTATTCTGTGGGCTTCAACAGGTGGAAAAGCATGCCTTATCTATTCAGACCATTAATAGCATTCTTTATCCTTTTCCCTGAATTAAGAAGCACAGTGTGTTCATTTCGGTCAGACACTAAAGTAGAAATAATCTTATCTGCTAGGTTCTCAAAAGTATTATCAGAGGGAGACGAAACCAGCTATTGCATCTCATTTTAAATGAATCCTATCACATGGGATTTAAATGATAAAATATAACATAGACCATTTGAGTGCATGGCTACTAAGATTTTTAAAATAAGGAAAATGATTTCAATACAATAAAACCATGCCTGATTATGTTGCTTTTGTGTTATGAAATATTGATGAGAAAAGGAATGGCAACCTTGAAGCCAAACATTCCTACTTCAAAGCTAAATATTTAATTTCATTTTAAAATATGTCCAAATATTATCTCCTCTTTACTTTGCCTGCTGTTTCTGACATTCCTTACCACTGTAAACAGATTTTGACCATGAGGTAGACCATGTAGTTAATCAGCCTGTGTGTTAATTTTATACCTTCTAATTTAGAGCTGTCAGTTTGAAAGCAGAAAAAGACTAAAGAAAATTTGGTGCTACTCCTATGTAATTTAGAATAATTGATTTGCATGTGAGCTCTTTTTAAATCATTCTAAAATCCGAAGAGTTGACATGAATTGTAGTTCTATCTTGTCAATAACAGATGGAGAAACTGGGGTGGAGAGATGGTGTGACATGCGAGCTATGCAGCTTGCGGAGAATCCCTGAGGCTTCCTGCCCCAAGTTCTCTTTTCTACCATTTGCCACCGGCCCACTCACTCTCTTTTGGAAATAAAATGTGTGTTTCTGGCGGAGTGTAAAACTATACCAGCTTCTTGTTGGGCTCTGGGAGATGTAGGTGTGCCTCCTCTGGACAAGAGGATAAAGTTCACCTCCCATTATCTACGGTAACAGGACAAGGCCAACTGGGAGAAGGAAATTGAAGAGGCAGGGCCAAGGGAATCCGTGGGTATTAGAAACAAAAATAAGAAGCCGGTATCCTTAGAATGGATCCATTCAGTATTCAAGGCTGAGGTCCAGTGAGTTGAAAAGAAGCTACATCAGAGAGGCCAGGATAAATGAAAGGAGTGAAGGTATGCTGGGAAACCTTTCCCTGCCAAAGGCCATTTGGCTCTCTATGGCATTATTCTCGGGCCACACTGCTCCAACATTTACGAAACTCCCCCCTAATGCGATGGACCAGAGAAGACTAGTTGTAAAGCATAGGAACCAAGCCTGAGCTACAAACGGCCGGAGACAGACTCTGAGGTCAGTGCCGTAGGCTGGCAGGGACCGTGTCTAGACAGCACAGGGAGGGAAGTAGTTCGTAAGATACACCAACTGGTCGGTTTTAAGATTTCTGTTCCTACGAAGCCCCCACTGAGTTACGGACTCAGAGTTAATTCTTTCTAAGTCTGGTGCGATTTCTGACTTGACTTACAAGTATTTTAAGTTGTAAATTACCTTTTACCTGCCTGTAATTCAAACATAACTCAAATGCTATACCTTTCTACAATTCCGGGGTGGGGGGGGTGTCCAAAAAAGCCAATAGGATCTGATGACATTAACTTTTAGTCCCACAGTTTGGGAGGCAGATGCACATACAGGGGCTTCAAAAAGTTAGGGGGGGGATATTCCATTATCTTTCCGTTTTATTTGTCCATGAACTCTCTGAAGCTTCCTAGTACAAGCATAAGTACACACAAAGGCAGACCTTTTAGATGCAAATGCATGTCATGTTGTCCCATCATTGTGGATGTATTTACTGAAGCGTAACTACGGTAGGGTACATCTTTATTGTTCCTTGAAGTAAAACAGGAGAGGAGATATTGCTTATTATTCTTCCCAATGGTCCTTGGGGGAAAAACGGCCTACTAGAAATCTTTTTTGAGGAAGGAAACAGTGATAGCGTTTTGCTTGAGGTCATACGGATCTCAAGCTTTGCTAAGTTCAGAAGGCTTGGAATTCGATATCCAACCTTATGATCTCTCCCACTAATTTAGCCCAAACACGGCAGCAGCCAATAATGAGAAGACAGATCATTTAGTCAAAACTATTACATTACACCCTATGTGTAATATTGTACTACATAGGGCTATGATTGCTAGCCCTTCAAAGAATTGTGAAAATATGGGACTCTTAATAGTGATGACTAAATTTGAACTTCATGTGTACATGAGTGCATGTATATTTTATGCCTGGGCACCCACAGGGGCTTGCTTAGAACCCAAGCATCTCACAGGGAAGGCACATTCAGATTTTGGTTAAGCATCTCCCACTGGTGAGGGGACTGTCCTGTCAGAAGCTGCAGCCCAACCGCGTTTAACAAACTCGATTGCCGCCGCAGTTCCCCTCCTGCAGCGCGTGTCCCTTCGTAAGTTAAAGGTCCAGGCAATGCCTTATTGACTGGTGGGACAGATAGAAAGGAATTAGTTATTGTTGTTTGTGTGTGTGCCACAAATAGTAACATCATAATAAGAACATATAAGAAGGAACAAAGATAGCCCAGAAACTCTTGTCCCTAGTGGATCAGATTTTTTTGCTATGTTTGTATAGTCTTTTTCGGTTCTCATTCATATGTATGTATCATTTTTATGGAGATGTATTACCCCATTTAGATGTAAGTTTTTGTTCTTTTCTTCTCTTGTACTATTATGTCCTAAGCATTTCCCCATTGTTATACTCATATTCCTGGTTCCCATTCTTCAATCGCTGCGTTTAATGCTACCTGTTAATGCTTCCCCATGACTAATCTATATGTGAAATATTAAGTTTATGCCCTAAACCCCTTTATTTTAAGGTTTTGAGTGCTGTTCTAATAGAGGAAACAACTCTACTGATTGTGGCACATTTCAAGCAAAAGCCTGTTTTAATTTTTTTAATTGCTTATCACAGAACATCATTTTCAATTCAGTGAAGTATATGCTTGTAAGTTTTGTCATCTGCCCCTTGTTTGATAGATGTGATTGCTGGATAGAGTGAGGCGTTTCCGTGTTTGGCTTTGCTTTTGGTGGTGGTGTGTGTGTGTCTGCGTGTGTGCGTTTTCAGAAGGGGAGGGTCCTGTCCTCTGTTGGAACATGCACTCCACCCTCTTGGTGAGGCTCGTGGAAAGATCTGCATCAGAACCCATTTACAGCCATCTTCATAGCATTGGTCCACAGCTCTTAGCTCCCATAATGATGGGGGGAGGGTGGAGTGTATTGCAGCCATATTCACCTTTCATTTGTGTGTTTGATGTGGCATTTATATTAAGTAGGAGTAATTTTTTTTCTGATTTTTTTTTCTTGTGTCACCAGTGCACCTATTCCATTCTTCCATCGCTGTGCTCCTGTGAACATTTCCTGCTATGCCAAGTTTGCAGAGGCCCTGATCACCTTTGTCAGTGACAATAGTGTCTTACACAGGCTGATTAGTGGAGTAATGACCAGCAAAGAAATTATATTGGGACTTTGCTTATTATCACTAGGTAATTGTTTTTCTCATTATAAGCAATTGCGTAGTACTGCAGTAGAAGACTATTCTGTCTTTTAGCCAAAATATGGATACCGTGGGGGATACGTATAAAATGTTTAACTTCCCAATGTTAAAATATCTGTTTCAGATTATATATAGTTATAAGTATGTGCATATACAAATAAATGTCTATCTACATATATATATCTGAAACATATTTCCCTTTTCCTCTCGGTAGAGAAAACGGGTTGTTTTCCCAAACCTTGGTTATGAAGTTGAACTATAGCTACCCTCAAATGACAGCAAAGAGGCTACTTTTAATGACTCAGCAGACTTCTGATTTTAGTTATCATTTAGTTATTTATATTTAGTTATTATTCCAAAAGACTTATTTGTCTATGAAAGAGGCCATCCTATCGTTTATATTTCCATTTAAAACATAGATTTCTGATAAATTCCTTTTGAAGATATACTTTTCTTTTTTTATTCCAACAGTTCATACTATCCTTATATTGCTGCCAAATTAGGAAATACCCACTTGTTAGCCATTAAATTTTCTGGTCAACAAATAGATGATAAAATGAAATTTTGTTTTCAAGAATACTATTGTAGAATTATGTGTAGCTATATAAGAATTGATAGACCTTCTTAGTTGGGAGAAGTAAACTTTCCTAAGGATTGAACAACTATTTTATGACATAAGTAAAATTAGTATCCATGCCTGTTCTTAGCATTGATAACCATTAAGAAGTTACAAGCTATAGTTCCATCTTTCTTGTCATTAGAGAGTATTTTCATTTTGCTTAGGAAATACTTGACTTAATTGAAATAATGCTGCCCATTTGAAAATATTTCTATAATTATTGATAGATTTCCATCTGCTTTTGGTTCTTATGCATTTATAGCAAAAGTGAGTACCTTAATAATGTGACCTGGATATAGATCCCAACCATTTTTTTCAACCATTTTTTGACTTTGCAAGTAGCTTAAAGAAGTTAGTTATTAGTCTAGCTTTATATAAAAATTATTGATACCTCAGATAGTTGAATACTGTAACCAAGGGAAAAAACTTTCCAACCTTAAAAATAGTGATGATAATGTTGTTGGCAACTGATAGGCCAATTTTAAAATTAGAATGTTCTCTTTTGAGACTTAAGGATGTCATATAAACCCACAGGGTCTTTGTTCATTTTTTGTGTGAAATGGGCCACTAGATAAAAAAGTGGACAATTCATGATTTCAGAAATATATTTCCTCATGCAAGAGAAACAGCCCCTCTCACCCCACTTTTTTTTCATCCACTGAGGTTTTTACGAGAGACTTTGGCACAGTGACATTTAGGTTGAGGGAGCAGAGAAGCTGGGAAGTAGTTGAAGGTAAATTTTGCTTCTTTGTAAGGAAAGGGTTTTTAGTCCGGAACCTTGAGCCAGTTACTAGGAAATGAGGTCAGAGGAATTTGGGGCTCAGGGTATTTGTTAGTATATTATCCCATAGTCTGATAGTCTATGGAACTCTTGCTGCTTTAAAGAAGAATCAACCAGAAGAAGACAAACTGCCATCTGTCATGTTGACTGACCATCCGAGAAGCAGCTTCTGAAACTCACAGTTCACTCCAGGAAGGGCAGCACCTGTTTTAATTGACCTCTGTCTCCGTGTGCGTGGGTTTCTTTGTTTTTGTCACCAACATGACATGTCATTATCTGCACTTTGTGTGGGGGCATGTGTGTCTGCATGTGCGTTCTACTGTCTTCCCATGGTGAATCCACAACGGTCCTGTGCTGTTTTTGAGCCACTGGGTGCATTGACATGCATTCGTTTTTGTCATGGAGTACACCATCACAGTTAGGGTGTCCTTGGTTTGGAGTGATGCTATTCAAGAGGCACAAGTAGCAAAATCAAAAGGCAAAAGTAGCCGGTTTCTTTTTCTACCCCAAATGGTGGTCATGAACTAGTCAATGGCAATGAATTGTTTCCTTGGGGAAAAGGAGCAATTGAAACTATTTCTCTGTGTTGTACAATGTGTTCAAGTAATACTGTGTGTGTTGTCTGCTTCTCTTCCCTGCAGTGCTGTCCATGATCTTGATGGTGATAATCAGGTACATATCAAGAGTCCTTGTGTGGATCCTAACAATTCTGGTCATACTGGGTTCACTTGGTAAGCTGTGTATTTCTTGGATTTTTAGTAATTAGAGTCAAATTTGTATTTCCTTTTAACACTCCATTTCCACTTTGATTATTTTAGTAACTTTCCTCTGATAAGGCTTGTGAGTTAGCTTTTTTTTTTAAACTGTGGAAAAAAACTGGTAAGTGGATTGCCATGGGGTTGCGTAGCTAATTGCGTAATCACTAAATCAAATAAAATGAGAAGACTTTTGGCATTTGGGTTAAAAACTTAGTAGAGCTATTTTTCAAAGGAGGTAACTACTTTTTCCATCCGGGTCAGTTCTGGGGAAGAAGAGTCCTAGAGAAAAGAAAATATTTGAGGTTCTGTTCTGCCTCCCTCTCTCTTTTTAATTCATTATTATCTTGGAGTTAATACATATATCATATCATTCCAGAGTTGTATAATTGCAATTGTATACTTACTACCACAATCAGTTTCCAAACGTTCTTTTTCTTCCTGGACTCCTTTTTACCCCACCACCTCGACTATACCTGCCAAACTGTCCCTGTAGGTTTATTAATCCTACACAAAAAACCATATAACACAGCCTCCTGAGAGTGATGCCCAATGACAAAATGCCTCTGAGATACACGCTAAGATGAGCAAAGAAACAAAAAGACAGAAAATGGTGAAACCAGATTAGGGCCAGCACGCATCAGAGCAGGGCATCAACTGACAAAGTTTTAACTGTTCAGATAAATCAAAGTCAAATTTATGCTTTTGATCTTCTATACTCATCTCTCCAGTGCACTCTGTGTAGTAACCACTTTCTTCCCATCCCTCACTTGTGGATAGAGGAAGTCACCCGGAGGCTTAGTTCCCACAAATGAATCTTGGGCTCCCACTGTCATCTATAGCCTTCTTGCAAACCAGATTCTCACAATTTAGGCTCTGATATTAATCCCTGATTCAATTTTGGATTATATTATTTGCAAACCTTTGGTGACTGATATTGGTATGCTTCTTCCATGTGGTCTCCCCTTTCTCAGTCCTTCTTTTAACTTGATTCTTCCTGTGGCCCCTTCCTGGCAACTGAGTGGAGCCTCACCTGGAATCTTAAGTTTTAAAGCCCAAGTCTCCATTCTCAGGTGCCATCGCTCCTCCTGGCTTAAAACTATTCCTTGAGCAATAAATGTGTACATGTTCGAAAACATTCGTGATTCTGTTTGCATTCTATTTCATTTTCTATTTGTAAAACCCTCTGATTTTGTGTGTATGTGTGTTTAAATTAATTTTTCTTCCCAATAATAAATGTGTGACACTCATAGAAAATAAAAATACAAAGTGTAAGATTAAAGCATTATTTTCACACGCTATTTGGTCCCTCTAGATAATTTTGTTTGTCTTAAAAGTTTCATAATTTCTTAGCCTCCATAGAGTATCCCCAGACACTCTTGTTGTATGCACAGCACTACTCTGAGTCTTGTTTCTTCCCGTGAAGGAAAGGCAGGCCTGGCCCTAACCTAGTAGATAATCTGGACCACAGCTCCTCTGCTACATTCCTGCTTGCTTTACTCTTGATGATTGTGTTTGTCTGTGTGGACTAGAGAAACAAATTCATAGACACCCATATGTATATAACAAAGAGCAATTGAATATTGAGAAAACGTCCCAGCCCAGTCCAGATCAAGTCCACAAGTCCGATACTAATCTTTAAAGTCCTCTTCAGACTCACAAAATACATGCAATGATGCTGAATGCAGGAGAATCACAGGCCAGTGGGTTGGAAGTTTTGTGGATCCAGTGGCGTTGTAAACATCTCAGCGTTGGCAGGGGTCTCTACATGGCTTCTCTGGCTCCAGAGGTCTAATTGCATCAGGGTAGGCCCATGTGGCTTCTCCAGCTCTAAGGGCCAAGTGTCTTGTCAGTAGAGCGTCTCTCAGGGAGTCCTCTCAGGGAGTCCGCAGAAAGAGAGAGAGAGAGAATCTCTCTCCTCCAAGGAGGAAATCCAGGAGTTAATAGAATTCTCAGGAAAACACAGAGGCCTCATTGGCTATTACCCAGTCGACAGACTAGACTTCAGTCTTAATCTTCTTTAAGTCCCAAGCTGATACCAGATTATGTAACTACCACAATGATTTTGGAAGCCGCAATGACCACGTCCTTTCCCTCATGCCAGCCTTGGACCCACGAGAGCATCTTAGGACTGCTCTTACCTCTTTCCTGAGAGAGTTTCCTGTCTGTCTGTCAATCCTTTGCTCACGTATAATCTACTGTGAAGTTCTGCTAACCCCTTTTGTATAAGCCTGAAGCCCTTTCCCAACCCAGCACCTTCTAGTTCCTCTTACCCAGTGGCATTTCATCCACGGGATAGGCCGTGCATTTTCTTGTTCCTCGTTTGATTGTTTTTCCTCATCACTATCTGAACTCTCTGAAGGTGGGGCTTTGTTTTGCTCACTGTGTGTCCCCAGCATGTAGAACGAGCAATAGGTGCTGTAATCACTGAACAGATTTGTTTCATGGATTGAATAAATGAATGAATGTGTCTAAATACAACTCTCTCATGGGAAAGTTGGATTGCTTTCCTCTGGACTCAGGTTCTGGGAATCTCTGCGCTCGGGCTCTGGATAAGAACAGTCACCCCGCATGCCCACTGCTATCAGAGATTTTCTGTCTTGCTCCTTCTTTGGTGGGAGCTGCTCTTTGGGTCTTCGTTTATTCACTGACTGTGCAGTCAGTTCTTTGACTCTGTAGGCATTGGGCACTGGGGGACTGTGATGCTTACAACGGATAAGCTCTCTGCCCTCCTTGAGGGCCATTGCTGATTTCTGTGAGCCACACTTGCTCCCAAAGGAGCCCTGATGGCGTAGGGGCTACGAGTTGGGCTAAAAACTGCAAAGCCAGCAGTTTCGAAACCACTAGCATCTCCAAAGGAGAACGACAGGGTTCTCTACTCTCATAAACAGTTACTAGCCTTGGAAACCCACAGGGGCACTTCTGCCCTGGCCTGGCGTGTCCCTATGAGTTGGTGTCTTCTCAGTGTCACTATGAGTTAGGATTGAGTTTGGTTGGTTGGTTGGTTGGTTGGGTTGGCTTTTTACTTGCGTTTAAAGCTGCCTCCGTTTAAACCAGTGCCATGGGCATCTTTCTAACCAATTCTCAGCCTTTGTTTCTCTTGGCCTTTCTCAGCATCAGGGGCCATAGTGAGTGAAGCCAAGGGAAGCTTACTGGAGACACTGAAGCATCTGCAAATACCTAACATGGAAGATAATTGCAGCGTAGCGGGAGCCCCACGTAGGCTGGCAGGAAGCTGTAGTCACAGCCCTCCCATCCTTGGCCCTTCTGAATGAACGATTGCACCACCAGTTCCATGAGGATGTGTGCGAAGGGTCCAGAAAGATTAAACGTGGATAGTAAACATTTTCTGTAATGTGTTCATTAATGGAAAAGGGGAAAAACTCTTTTCTCCCCCCAGGTGGCACAGGTGTCCTGTGGTGGTTATATGCGAAGCAAAGGAAATCTGCCAAAGAAACAGTAATTCCCGAGCAGCTCCAGATAGCTGAAGACAATCTTCGGGCCCTGCTCATCTATGCCATTTCAGCCACAGTGTTCACCGTAAGTGCCGGGTGGGTGTATCTTTTTCCATGTGGGGGGTTTTATTTGCAGGAGCTCATTGATGGAGTAGAAACTCGCCTCTCGCGTGTGTGGTCCTAAGATAAATAAAACAAAAATCTCTACCCCCCAGAGTGGGAAGCACTGAAAATCTTCATGCACCTTCTCCACTAGAGAAGTGCTGTTTGTTACAACACGTAGTTCTACTCTGTGTACCAGGAAACGATTCTCCAGAATTTTCCCCTAGAATAGTTACTTCCATGCTATTAAATTGCTAATAAAAGCATATATCTTAACTGTTTCAGGGTAATAGTATGTTTAAAAAAAATTCCCTTTGCTATAGAAGAATATGTTAAGAAATAGTCTGCTTTACAAAGGAGTACCCCAAAAAACTAGAAATTTTTTCCCCAAAGCTTTGTATTTAAATTTTTTTTTACAAAACAACCTTAACACTTTCAAAGTATTCTCCATTACACTTAATACATTTGTCAAACTGCTATTCCATTCTTGGAAACATTTTTCAAGCTCATCTCTGGATGGCTGACCATACCTCCCTCGTTTTTTGTTTTTTTTCACCTCTTCTGTATCGGCAAATCACTGCCCTTTCATGTCCCTCTTCATTTATGGAAACAAAAAGAAGTCGCATGGAGTGAGGTAAGGTGAGTAAGGTGCTTGGGGCAAGAGAGGCATGTTGTTTTTTGCCCCTAACTGGTACACTGAGATGGGTACATGAGGAGGTACATTGTCGTAGTGGCAAAACCAGTCCCCCCATTCTGCCACAAATCAGGCCTTTTTTGTCACACTGTTACGCAATCTTTTCAAAACCTCTACATGAAAGCTTGATTAACAGTCTGACCTGGTGGAATGACCTCCAAATGCACCATCCCACTCACATCAGCGGAGCTTTTTCTGATTTTGGGTGTTGGGCGGGGGAGGGTGTCTATGAGGTACCCCTTGTATATTCCATGTACTTGTTTGCTAATTGTTCGTTTTCCCATATCTTTCCTTGAAAGTTTGATTTTAATGATGCATGTTATTTCAAGAATGTAGGTTAGGGTCATTGTTTACCAACTGCACAGTAAAATTTCTCATTAACATGTGATTAAATAATCCATACTCCTATTTTGATTCTTCTTTTTTACCTGAGTTTGATTCTAGAAGCTGTTCTAAGCTTTGTATTGTACATTAGAAACAAATAATAAACCAGCTACCTAAGACTGTTGAGGCCAAACAATATTTGTTAGCTATCATTCTGCCAGTTTGTCTTAATCATTTTCTAAGTATAATTTACCTGTGCCAGCAGATGCTGGGTGAGGCAAAGCGGGAATTGGTCATGGGACCCACTCTTAGAAAACTTTTGGCTCACTGAGGGAGATGACATACATAGAAATCCCTCCAGTGCTTTGGTACTGATGGCCTGAGGTCCTCTCACTGTTTCTCAGAGTTATAGGCCTCCATCTCCGTATTGATTGTTGGTCACAAATGACCTTTTTTGGCTCTGAATGAAATAGTGAAAGCTAGAATTCTAGGAGATAGTGCTACATTGAAAAATCATTTTATGGGAAACAGAGGAAAGAACTAGGAGGCAAAGGACATTCAAGAGGTCTAAATTCAGGCTCTGTGAATGAAATAGTGAAAGCTAGAATTCTAGGAGATAGTGCTACATTGAAAATCATTTTATGGGAAACAGAGGAAAGAACTAAGAGGCAAAGGACATTCAAGAGGTCTAAATTCAGGCATGTACATATGTAAATACATTTATATATAACGATAACATTTATATATAACAATAGGGAAATAAATAAATCTATGTACATATATTTATAGGTTAAGTATTAAGGTAGCAGGCAGACATTGGGCCTCTACTCAAGTACTCCTTCAACGCAAGAACACTTTGTTCTAATAACCTGGCATTCCGTGATGCTCACCTTCTCCACACGATCACCAAAGACAAAATGGGTGCATAAGCAAATATGGTGAAGAAAGCTGATAGTGCCCAGCTATCAAAAGATAGAGCATCTGGGGTCTTAAAGGCTTGAAGATAAACAAGTGGCCTTCTAGCTGAGAAGCAACAAAGTTCACATGGAAGAAGCACACCAGCCTGTGTGATCATTGAGGTGTCAATGGGATCAATTATCAGGCATCAAAAACCCAGAACCAAAAATTATATCAATGGGAAGGGTCACAAGGAAGGGAGGAGCTAGTTAGCTAGCACTGATGAAACATACAACTGTCCTCTAGTTCTTTAATGCTTCCTTCCCCCAACTCTCATGACCCCAATTCTACCTTACAAATCCGGCTAGATCAGAGCATGTACACAGGTAGAGATAAGAGCTGGAAACAGAGGGAATCCAGGACAGATAAAGCCCTTGGGACCAATAATGAGAGTAGCGATACCAGGAGGGGATGGGGGAGGTAGGGGGAGAAAGGGGGAACTGATCAAAGTGATGTACATATAACCCCCTCCAAGTGGGGTGGACAACAGAAAAGTGGGTGAAGTGAGACATCGGTCAGTGTAGGACATAAAAAAATTTATAATAATCTATAAATTATCAAGGGTTCATGAGGGAGGGAGGGAGGGGAGGGAAAAAATGAGAACCTGATACCAAGGGCTCAAGTAGAAAGAAGATGTTTTGCAAATGATGATGGCAACATATGTACAAATGTGCTTGACACAATGGATGGATGGATGGATTGTGATAAGAGCTGTATGAGCCCTGAATAAAATGATTTAAAAAAAAAAGAAAAATCCTTCCATGTTTAATCTTAAAGAACATTGATAACATACAATTGACAGGATTTGCACTCTAAGGCAAATACAGGCTGATTAAGTATGGCTGAGATTTAGAGAGTGATATTCTACAGGCTTTCGAATGAAGATGTATATTCAAATTTTCCACATTATTCAGCTTCTGTTCTTACCACTTAACCTGTTTTTGCCTTTTTCTATTTTTACCACAACCTCGCGCTACTCATTCATTCTGTCTGTGCAGGTGATCTTGTTCCTGATCATGTTGGTTATGCGCAAACGAGTGGCCCTCACCATCGCCTTGTTCCATGTGGCCGGCAAAGTCTTCATCCACTTGCCACTGCTAGTCTTCCAGCCCTTTTGGACTTTCTTTGCTCTCGTCCTGTTTTGGGTCTACTGGATCATGACACTTCTGTTTCTCGGCACTACTGGTAAGAAGACATTACTTCATTCTCTTGGTGACAGTCCAGCTTTACATGAAGATATTTTAAAACATCAGGCAGGATACTGAAACTCTTCAGGTGTTTGTTGACCAAGGTGCAGTGACTCCAGATCTAGCTATGGTGTAATGTCTTTTCAGTAGCCAGTTCTCTACTCATGAGTTTTAGGTCAAGATAGCAATGAGGGTCTGACATCCTGTCCTATTTTTGAGATGGTCAGGGACCTGAAGTAAGTTTCTCTCCTGACGCCGACGTTGGAATGTTCTTAAAGCAGTTCGTGATTGTGTGCCGTGATGGAGTGGGCTTACCTTCATTCTCAACCAAGAATTGACTTGCTTTCTTCGGATTTTCTACTTTGGGAATTACTTGGATTGTTAGTCCAGCTAGAGTTCCATGCTTAAGTTTTAACCGGGCTCAGTGGCAAAAGATAGGCCAAAATCGAACTGTGAAGAGCAGCAGAAGGGTCATAAACGTCCATTTGCCTTTTCTGATTATTCAGCATGCATTCACCAACGGAATATAAGACTAGCTTCTGTATTTTGCTAATAAGCTGGATACAAACATTTTGGATAGCTCAGGAAAAAATAAATAGAGGACTTTGAAATGTATATAAAACAAGAATTCAAAATACGGGATATCCAAATAGAGCAACTTTTAATTTTTTTTTATGATTTCTATGAGAAAACCAAAATGCATTATTACACAGTGTTTAACTTCACAATGTTTTCAATTGATAGTTATTTTTGTCTCTTAACCAAAGAGATGTATATGATCAGGAGGTAGCACTAGGCATTTATTCTTAGAAATTAGATTAATTTCCCTTATTTAATAGTCATATTTATTGGTTTATGTGCATATTTGTTTCCTTCCTTGATATTTTGTAGGCAGTGCTGTTCAGAACGACAAAGGCTTTGTGGAGTTCAAGGTTTCCGGCCCCCTGCAGTACATGTGGTGGTACCATGCAGTGGGTCTCATTTGGATCAGTGAGTTCATTCTGGCTTGTCAGCAGATGACGGTCGCAGGAGCTGTAGTAACGTACTACTTTACAAGGTGAGAGTTTGGACTTGCCAGAAAATCGCAGATTCCTCTTTCTCTAAGTCCGCAGTTCTCAACCTGTGGGTCGCGGCCCCTTTGGGCTTCGAACGACCCTTTCACTGGGGTCCCCCGATTCATAACAGTAGCAAAATTGCAGTGATGAAGTAGCAACGAAAATAATCTCATGGTTGGGGGGTCACCATAACCTGAGGAGCTGTATGAAAGGGTCGCAGCATTAGGAAGGTGGAGAACCACTGTGAGTCTAAGTGATTGTGCATGGAGGTTGAAGGGAAGGGAGTGAGCCTGAGGTGAATGAGTTTCCTTTCATAGAAGTGATCATGACAAATCATTTCAGAAAAATGAGAGGTTATTCTTTTTAGTCTGTATGCTTTTCTGTATCTTTCTAAAAAAAAAAGATCAGAATAGCAGGTCACGATATAACAAAAGTATAATTAGCAGACAAATGAATCATACAGTAACACCTGCCTTATATGGTATTTTACTTTATATAAAAGTTCAACAAAACATCATATTTGGTGCTAAGTCTAGCTAGAAGAACCCTTTAAATTCGTGTTTTGGTTGTGCTCCAAAAGTTTTCACTGTCAATTGTGCTTTCAAAGCATAGCTTTGTTTTGTTTACCTTAAGATATTAGAGCAACCCCATGAAACGTCCATAAAGAAATGAGACATTAATGTACGTGGGCACTGTGGCATGTGTATTAGTTATCCATCGCGTGGCTATTTTGCTGTAAAGCTCGGATAGGCGAGCTACTGTTTCACTGTATTGAACTCCAAACCATTGTGATGTCGCCCACTTGGCGGAGACTTGGTTTTAATTCTCTTTTTGGTCATTTTAAAAATAGGGATAAAAGGAATCTGCCGTTTACCCCTATTTTGGCATCAGTGAATCGCCTTATCCGTTATCACCTTGGTACTGTGGCAAAGGGATCGTTCATTATCACCTTGGTCAAAATTCCACGGATGATCCTGATGTACATTCACAGTCAGCTCAAAGGAAAGGTAAGAGGAAGGAAGATGCTTGTCTCCGCTTCGCTGTGGGCACACCCCAGACCTTAGCTCTGTGTGTGCTGAACGCCCAATCATGTTAAGTCCAGAGTTGTAAATGTTTCATTCAAAGTCTTTACAAATTGGAATCCAGTCCTTCTCCCATGTTCCCCACTTGTTTATACCCTAAGTTCTGGCTAAAACCCCTAATCACTGCTCAGTAAAGGGTGGTCCTTTGCTTCCCCAGGGTGGCCTCACACGCATTCCTCCTTAGAACCTCTTCTCTATCCTTGACTGAGGCAATAGCATGCATTGCAATATTGTTTAGCTCAAATGATCTCTCTCTCTGGAACCCTTTCCTGATTCCTCCCAAAGAACCTTGTCTCTTTTTATTCTCTATGCTGAGAGCACATACTCTGAATTATGTTCTAATTCTAACCTTTTTTGTTTTTATGTTCAGTGTTCTCTTTCTCCTACTAGCTTGTAACCTCCTTGCTGTTCTCTTATTTGTAGAGGGTACCAATTGCATGTTGAATTGCCAGATTAAAAGTGATTCAGCCATTGCCATATTAGGAGAAAAAAGATGGCGAGCGGAGTCTTTAAAGTATAACTGGGCTTTCAAAAAACTTTTTTTTTTCATTTTTAATGTTTAATGACCTACATGATTGCTTGATTCTTTGTTTTTAAAATTATTCCCACTTTCTAGGAAAATGCTTGTGCTCGATGTATGCTGAAATCTTGCATTTGTTGCCTTTGGTGTCTTGAAAAGTGCCTAAATTATTTAAATCAGGTAAGATATTTTTCAAAATTATACCTCCCATTCACTTCCCAAGATTATTGTTTCTTCATCAATGGAAGGATAAGTGTTTGAAAGAATATCATGCTTTTCTTATAATGTTACACAGTGTACCTTGATCAAATTTTGTAAATTTCAATCAAATTTTTATTTTTTGAACATCTGGTCTTAGCAAGACTCACTTTTTTTAATCTTAATTTTAACTTGAATAAAAAATCATCAACGTTCATCTTTCAGGAAAGACAATTTATTCGTTACTCTTTGAATTCTCATCTTAGATTTTCCTAAGAATCTGTCTGCTCCAGTTATCATTCTTTAATCCTTTCAAATGTTTGAGACCTTCCGTTTCGTGAAAAGCTGTTATGACAGCCTGATGCCATTGGAGCTCTGTACCATTGTTCAAGTCCGGTGTACTCTCTAGGGGAGCGCGTCGTGTTGAATTGCTCAATTGAGACTAGCTCTGGTATTTGGACAATATGATCAAAGGAGACACTGTCTAAGGTTGAATGTTGGAGTTGATACTTACCAAGATAAGTTTTTTGGGCAGTGGGCGGGCCCTTTGCCTTTCTGTACCTGGACATGTAGGACCTGCAATTGAGCACTTTTCCAATCTTTACCTTCTTTTTACTACTTTCTCCATTCCCTGAAAACCAGTTCCAATCTATTGATGCCCAGACGGAATAAACCAATGATAACAATTGGCTTTCTACTAAACTAAGGAGTAGAGTTCCTCCTTTTGTGCCCTTCAACATAATCCAAGATTGATAGTTGTCCTGTAGCCGTGGTGTTGAACATGCCCGTGCTCGCTATGCTGGGTTTTCTGGTTAATACTGGAAAGTTACTATTATAGTGCATTAAGAAGATGGGACATCCCCTCACAGAAGGGTCACAAGGAGGGGATGAGTCAACCAGGGCACAGTATAGCATTGATGAAACACACAATATTCCTCTGGTTCCTTGAGGCTTCCTCACCCTCCACTATCTTGACCCCAGTCCTGCCTTTCACTGCAAGCTAGACCGGAGCATGTACACAGGTACAGATAATAGCTCACAACACATGGAATCCAGGTCAGATAACCCGCTCAGGAACAGAAATGGAAGTAAGCAATACAAGGAGGGTTGGGGGAAGGTGGGGAGAAGAGGGAGTAAGAAACCACCTTGGGGAAGGGAGATAGCGGAAGGTGTAAAATATGGAAATAATAATAATTTATAATTTTATCGAGGGGTCACAAGGGTGGGGGGAAACAGGAGCTAATACCAAGGGCGCAAATAGAAAGTAAATATCTAGAAAAGAATGATGGCAACGTATGTACAGATATGCTTGATACAATTGATGTATGGATTGTTATAAGAGTTGTAAGAGCCCCCAATGAAATGATCTTAAAAAAAAAAGAAGGTACACTTTTGTGAGCTCACAATGCTCTCTGTGGTTGTACAAGCATTTGGAATGGCATGTGAGAGTAAGTCAAAACGTATTGGCTACAAATTGTATAGAAACCTTTATTAAACAAAAATATCAAAATTCAAAGCTTTTGTTTCTCGGCATAGCCGTGTTCTAGGCCCCCACTGCTTTTGAAGGTGGTGTGTCCAGACTCTGACCCTTACTCCCCAAAAGTCTGTGCCCTTCAATTTACACCCTGTGCCCTTCAATTTGCACCCTGGGCATCTTCCAGGGGTTCAGAATAGGTCCTTGTTCAATGTTCTTGGAGTTTAGGGAACAAGAAGTTTGAAGGAGTGACGAGATCAGGGATATAGGGTAGATGGGGTAAAGTTTTCCAACAATTATCAGAGGACTACACTTGCTTCCCTCAACGGTGAGCAGGTGAATTGTCATTGTGGAAAAAATGTCTCAGCACAACTTTCCTGGCCTTTTTCTCACCAATGTAGTTAACAGTTTTCTTAGAACTTCTTGTTGCTAAGTCCCCTTGTCTCAAAAGACAAAATCTATCAAAATTACTTCCTTGAATAAATAATAATTTAAAAAATAGCTTCTGTAACCTACTGAGCTGACCTCTTTGCCTTGAATGTAACTGGCTCAGCAAATTCCTCCAGAATTCATGATTTTTGATCGGAGTTTTTGATTTTGGTTTTTTTCAAAGCACCCTAATGAGACGAGACAAGTGTTTTCCTGAAAGACCTTGTCTGCAGCCATCCCCTGAACTCAGACTTATTTTGATAAAGAGTTTGTTTGGAATACACCTGTCCATGCATGAAAATGAAGACTTAGCAGAAATACTTTTCACTTAGCCTTCTCCATAACTTCAGGAGTCCTGATAATGCTGTGGGTTAGATGGTGAGCTGCTCCCCACAGTTCAAAGCCACTAGCCTTTCCTCGGGAAAGAGATGAGGCTGTCTGCTTCCAAAAAGATGTACCATCCTGAAAACCCTGAGTCAAGCCGAACTCAGGGCCAGTGGGTTGGTGGGTATCCTAGCTCGTCCTGGGGGAGACTCAGCCGCTTTCTAGCCTCATTTCCTCCCACCGTCCCACAGTCACCTTTTCCCATTTCCTTTTTTTTCTTTCTTTCTTATTACAGACTTTTTTAAATTCAATTTTGTATGTTCCTTAACCAATTTCAATTTTTTAAAAACATTTTATTAGGGGCTCATACAACTGTTATCGCAATCCATACACACATCAATTGTGTAAAGCTTATTTGTACATCATTCTCAAAACATTTTCTCTCCACTTAAACCCCCGACATTAGGTCCTCATTTTTTTTCCCTCCCTCCCCGCTCCCCCCTCCCTCATGAGGCCTTGATAGTTTATAAATTGGTATTTTGTCATATCTTGCCCTGTCCGACGTCTCCCTTCACCCACTTTTCGGTTGTCTGTCCCCCAGGGAGGAGGTCACATACAGTTCCATGTAATCAGTTCCCTCTTTCCTACCCACTGTCCCTCTACCCTCCCTGTTTCGCCACTCACACCACTGGTCCTGTGGGCTCATCCGCCCTGGATTCCCTGTATTTTCAGTTCCTATCGGTACCAGTGTATATCCTCTGGTCTAGCCAGACTTGCAAGGTCGAATTCGAGTCATGATAGTGGGAGCGGGGAGGAAACATTTAGGAACTAGAGGAAAGTTGTATTTCTCATCGTTGTTACATCACACCCTGACTGGCTCATCTCCTCCCCGAGACCCCTCTGCAAGGGGATCTCCAGTGGCCTACTAATGGGCTTTGGATCTCCACTCCGCACTCCCCCCATCATTCACCGGTTCCTACTGAGACTTGATGGCTCTGCCGAATCTTACCTTCGCTAAGATAGCCTCATCAGCTTGGCTGCTTCCTCTGAGCATCCACAGCACCAGTTCATACTCTGCCAAAACAATAAGCAAACTATGTTGAGATGATCTATTTGTTTATATTTCTCTGAAGACCTTTAACTCCTTAAGAAGAGTCTTATAGCTTATTTTTTTGTTGATGCTCCAAAAGCTAGCAAAGAACCTTCCTGGTACAAAAGAGGTGGCCTTCAAATGTTTCTGACATGATTTGTTGTACATCAGTGAATATTTGGGTTCAGTAAGACTTGCAGCGTGCTACAAACTGTCAGAATCTCCAAAGGGAAGCGTGACATCCTACCAAAGACAACAAGCCACGTGACCTCAAGGTGGTCAATCATCCAGTGAAAACCCCAAGAGTTCTCAGCAACCACAACCTAGATATTCATCAGTGACTTGGTCCTGAGGTCTACATCCAAGTGCAAGTTGCTCTTCCTTGGATAGGTCGTGTTCACTTGGGACGTTCATTGTTTAGGAGATAAAGGCATGACATTTGATGATTTAGGGGATGCATTAAAATTCACTCAAAGTCATGAAAATGTGGAGCAGGTGGAAAGAGACCCCTTAGCCTTTGTTATCCTGAATCACTTAGCTTAGTAGCCCTTTTAGGAAGTACAAAGTGCTAGTATGTGGGAATTGGCCACTCTTGGTGCTTCGGGCCTGCTGTGCCCAGGAGGAATAGATTAATTTGAAATGAGGGCAACATATTGAAGATATTAGAAACCTCCTCTCATGAGAAGTTGAGCAACAGGTTTGGTTGCCAGTGGAATTTTAAAAATCCCCACCCTGTGAGACATCTCACAGCACGGCGGGTACCCATGTGTTTGAAGTATCGAAGGTGATGGAATCATGGTAGTAGTGAACAGACGACCTCCGGAGCCTTTTTACTACAATTCTGAGGGCCAGCAGGGGGCAAACGAGAGTATTCTTCTCACATCTGTGGCACATGCACCTATCAGTGCTGAGCCTCAGCTGTGCCAGAGAACAAGCCGCAGCTGGTACCAGGCTAGCAGCCTATCCCCAGACTGCTTTTGTGTCCGTTGTTCGTCATTGCTTCCCGAAAATGAAGTTCCCCTCTTCCAGGCACATGGGCTTCTGTGTTCGAGCACACACTTTTATAGCCTGCCTGGAGCAAGAGCAATGGATAATTGGTGGGATGTGCAGGGAGAAGTCCCATGACTCTGTGAATTCAACAATGTAACTTGTCGGCAATTTCAGCCAAACCGCCAAGCCCCAGTTTCCTTTCCCAGCAGATGGAGAACGGTATACTGATCTTCATAGACTGCTTAAGGATGAAGTACTCATTCCTTCTCCACTGCTTGATTTCTTTTTTGAAGCACATCTCTAAGTTTGCACATTATGCTAAGTGTATTGTGGCAAAAATAATCTAAAAGGTAATTCTAAAGATACATCGTTTCTCCCTGAACATAAATGTTATATAAAACAGTAAAGAAGGGTTTGGGAAACTAGGAAAGATGAAAAACATCTCCCATAATTTCACTGAGCTAAACCAACAGGAGCTAACACTGAAATACCTATTACTGGCTTTGACGGGGGATTACCTGGTTTTGGCTTGGGGCGGGCATGGGGGTTGTCATGTTTCATGATCTGTAAGTGTCCACTGTAAGCTGAGGATAATAATAAGGTCTGCCTTAGAGAGTAGGGAAGATGGACAGAGAGAATGTCTTCAGTGCTCTGAGCATGTATTTGGAGCACAGTAGATCCTTCGGGAATGGTAGCTTTTACTCGACAGTAATGCCCGCTGTTCGTTTCTTCTTAAGCTGTTTTGATGTGTCGCAGATTTGCTTTTGTCAGGCTGTTCGAGCTTGTCGTTTCTGGTTTCCTTCTTCGCTTTTATGATCGGCACGGTCTTCCTACCTCAGATCAACCAGTTTCTCTATTTCCCTGAAGTCCTTTAGAGGTTTCCTATCTTTAAAGCACGTAACATTTTTATTGGTTAGAATCTCTTCAGACAATCATGAATTAGTGAAGGATCCATCCTTTGCCTGTGGTGAGGTGCCAGCTTCATCATGGCCTAAACTCTTGGATCTCGAACTCGATTTTCAGGCTGCCCTTTCCAGCACCCTCCCCCCATCTGTGCTGATGCCAGGGCTGCAGCACTTCATGACGCTGGCTGTGTTTCTTTCTAGACCTCAATTGTTTTATTTTTGAGATGCATTTCTCTCGTTCTCATTTTTAAAAGATGTCTTATCTCCACCATCGGTTGACTTTTAGATGATGCTATAGAGTGCAGGAATGGCAATTAATTAAAATGGAAGCGAACATGCATGTAACACTGTGTGTCAGGCCCTGCGCAGGCAATGTCGCCTCACTAGAGTCCTATTTCTTCTACTCCTCTTCGCTCTCGCTCCCAAGATCAGCATGGCATTTCATGCCCAAAGCCTTGAGCAGGGCTACCGAACGCAGACACCTTCAGGGCCAGTTGCCGTGTTGTGACCGAGAAGCAGCAGGATCTAATGCCATGGGGGATGGGGCGGGCTGTGAGAAATTAGAGAGTTCGTGCTTCATCTAAAGAGGGCAGTCACTATTTAGCTCTGCTAGACTGTTGCCATGTGAGAATTTATAGTTTCTAGCTCTTCCAAAAAAATTTTTTTTAAGTCAGAAGATTTGGGGTTCTGCCCCAGGAGGGAAGCATATAAACAGATAACTCTGTACTCCAAGAACCATGAGAAGTGACAGCATAAGAGAAAGCCACCAGGGAGGAGGCTGCAGGTTGCAGATAAAACAGCACGGCAACCTGATGCCATTTATTAGAAGAGCACACGGCCCATCCGTACCTCTGCAGCTCTTAAAGCCTCTCCGAGTGGTGTTCGTGCAGTACAGACATTCACAGTGATGAGCTGAAGGCATCGAGGAAAGCTTCGCTTATAGTTCATGCACTATGACACAGAAGAAGCCCTCGAATGTTAGAAAGGATTGTGTGTGTTTTTCTAAGGATCAGCGTCTTTCAAGGACCAAAAGTAAACCAACTAGAAAGCTCTTTTTATTGTATCAGGGCTTTTGTTGTAGTTTTTTAATAGCTCCTATTTCCTTGTGCTCCGTCTCCATTGCAACCTCATCAAAGCCCTGGATTTAACTGTGGAATGTTTTCAAAAGCTATGCTTTGACTATGCTTGATTGACATCTTGACCAAGTACGCTTGTTTGTTGCTGAAAATGAGTGTGCTTCCTTTTGCCAGAATGCATACACAGCCACCGCGATCAACAGCACCAACTTCTGCACCTCTGCAAAGGATGCCTTTGTGATTCTGGTGGAGAACGCTCTAAGAGTAGCTGCCATCAATACAGTGGGGGATTTTATGCTATTCCTGGGCAAGGTAAGACCAAGCGCTCGTGTATTATCTGAGACAGACTGCAGCTTTACAAATATACTCGTACGTGTCTATCCTTTTATGTTCAAATGCCCGTCCCAGCCAGGAAGAGCCCTGGTAGCGAAATGGGTTAAGCATTGGGCTTCTATTTGCAAAGTCAGCAGTTCAAAGCAGACCTTTTGAGGGAGCAAGATGAACCTGTCTGCTCCCTTAAGGGTTTACAATCTTGGAAACGCACAAGAGTAATTCTACTCTGCCTAGGAGTCGGAATCCACTCAGCAACAATGGGTGGTATCCCAACCAGTACATTAAAGTGAACGATATATACTCACTGCCATTTAGTCAATCCTGGCTCCTAGTGACCGGAAAGGGCAGGGTAGACTGCCCCTTGGCATTTCCAAGATTGCTAATCTTGATGGAGATCGAAAGCCCTCTCTTTCCCCTGAGGCGAAAGGCCCACCAGGACAGCTAATATGTTGGGCTGTCAGGTAAGCACTGGACCGCGAACAGAAAGTGTGACGGTACACACCCACCAGCCACTGAGTAGAGGCAGACGGGGCTGTCTGCACCCACCCAGCTGGACAGCCTCCAAAGCCCTGTCAAGGGCCCTCGGAGTTAGAGTGGGCTGGGTGGCAGTGTGTTGCCGCCACTGTTCTGGGCGCTTGATGTGCTGTGTTCATTGAGGCCTCACAACAAACTTCTGAATTCTACCATTGCCCTCCTTTTACAAATAGGGAAACTAAGGCATAGAGGTGAAATAATTTGCCCAAGATAAGGTACCCACTTTTTCATGTTTCTCCTTAGTTTTGAGCTGTCGGGATTTAGGCAACAGTCCAGCTAGGAGTTACGGTTACTGTGTTTGGAGCTAGACTGCCTGGGTTTAAATCCTGGCTTTCCTACTTGCTAACTGAGGCTGGGGCAGGCTGCATAGCTAGCCTGTGCCACAGTTAGCTCCCTGATAAAACTGGAGGAATAATAGTCCCAATGCTTCAGAATTGTGAGGATTAGATAGATGGGTTGCTATTATGAGTGTGGGGTGCCTGGGACAGTGTCAGGCATTTTGTAAATGCTTGCTAAATGTCAGCTGTTGTTATTCTTGTGATTGTACAGAGCTGTGTATAAACCCCCTTAAAATGTAGCTGTTTGGAAGTAAAAGTAACACCTTCCTCGAAGGGACTCAGAACAAGAGTTTTAGCCTATAGCAACAAAGTCTATAATGAACACCTCCAAGCAGAGACGTCTCTGTCTATTGAGAATATGGATGATTTTAGCTCCCCCATCCTTTCTTTAATGAATAGTAAATAACATGGTAATTGAATTGCATTGTAGCTGTATTTAAAATAATAAAATATTCAAGAAAATTCAATTCAGGAAAGAAAAACTTATAATTTATAGTCTTATATCTCTTATTATGTATATGTATTGCAACCTACTTATCCCCTCCCGCCTCTCCCACCACATAGAGGGGGACGTGCGCAGCAACACTCCATTATTAAATGGAAGTGGTATATATGAGATCGGGCCAAAGCAGGACCTGAAGGGACAAGTAAGCTGCATGAAGAAGTGGCCCAAATGCCCACAGTCTCCACTCCTGTCACATTACCTTCTTTCTCCCAGTCCAATTTCTCCTTGTTAATCAGGATCAATCATACCACTCAGTACAGTGCCACCCTTCCTGGCCTGTTGATCCAAAGGCATGAGAAGCCCAAAGTGACCAGGGGGCATTCTCAGCTGCCGGTTCAGTAGGATCCGTGCTGTTTCCAAGTGGGAGAGTTCCTTCCTTTGGGACCAGGACCTCCAGGCCTGAGGAACACAGGGTTGTTGGGACAGGAAGCAAAAATGCTGCAAGTGGATCACTAGGAGTAATAGTGAGTGGTGCCACTGCAGCTTCCACCCCTTGGTTCCTGGACCCATGAATTCTGACTATTGGAGACACAGCATCACTATAGTCTTATATCTCTTATTATTTATATGTATTACAATCTAGTTATCCCCTACCACCTCTCCCCCCACATAGGCTTATATTTCTACAGTCATCTCATAGCCCCTAATACCTATGAAATCCAGAAATCCAACCCCACTGCCATTGAGTTGATTCCAACTCATAGTGACCTTATAGGAAAGAGTGGGATGCCCTTATGGGTTTCTGAGACTATAAATCTTTACAGGATCAGACAGCCTCACCTGCCAAGTAACTAATGGTTTCAAACTGCTGACCTTTTGATTAGCAGCCCAACACGTAACCCAGCACACCACCAGGGCAGATCAGTTCAAATGTGGTGAGATGAGGCTTCGCAGAGTGGATTAGATCATATACATATTCCTATTGCTATGGTAATCTTCATAAGTAGCTATTATTGTGATGGTTTATTAAATGCTCTACTTACTACATTCTCTTTCCTACCAAACACTGAGATGGTTCTAACCACTGTGCTTTTTAAATGTTTTTGAAAAGAAAAAGGAGGCTTGAAAACTCTGAGTGACTTGAGGTACAAAGGTTCTCACACAACCTCACCCTAAAATAATTAAGAATAAAACTCTAAATATATTTCCAAACTATGTAGTTGACCTTATATATTGCCATGGTTGCATTTATTTCTGTCATCTTTTTAAGTGCTAGAAATGTCTTTATAGTAAGGATTGAATACGTTAATCTACACAAAAGGTTGAGAGCTGTGTTTGGCACCATGTTAGCATTGATATACTGTATGGCTGATACAAAAAAGGTCTCGGAGTTTTTATTTTGTTTACATATTTTTAATTCACTCCTACTGCTAAGAAAAGGAGAAAGACGGAGCTTTCTACTCTAGGAAGCAGACACAATCTTGGAAATTGACAGGGCAGGTCTACTCTGTCCTATGGGGTCGCTGTGAGTCGGCACCAACTCAACAGCAGTGAGTGAACTGAGACGCCCAGGCGGCAGGTGTTCAACCACTCAGCTGCTAACTGACCTGTCAGTGCCGGGAACCTTCCAGCCGCTCCACAGTCGGACCCTTGGAGATCCTAGGGGGCTGGGCTACGAAGAAAGGTTTGGAGCAACATAAAATAAAAGCAAAGATAAACAGAGCCATTGAAGAAAGAGCTGTTGGTTCATGCATCAACTTGGAATGTGCCGAAGGAAAAAGCCCAGCCCCGGAAGAAGATTATATACTTTATGATTTCGTATATATAAGATTCTTGAAATGACAAAATTTTGGAAATTGATTCATGATTGAATGGAAGTGGGAGAGTGAGGCTGAGGGTAAGAGGGCAACAGGAGACCCTTGTGGTAGTGAAAGTGTTTCGTGTCTTGACTAGTACAGTATCATCATCATCTATATAAAATCTGTACATCTAAAATCACTATAGAACTATAGTGTAATCAGGATATTGGCCTATATTGTCCTATCATTTTACAAGATGTTATCATTGGGACAAGCTCCATTAAAGGTACATGAGATCTCTCTGTATTTGTACAGCTGCATACACATTTACAGTATTTTAAAATCCAATTTTTAAAAAGGGGTGTGGGGAGGGAACACCTTCCATTTAAAAAGAAAAATTAACCTTGGGCCCCTTTCTATGGAGATGTTTTTCGCTGTTCATTGAGATTTGGAAGGTGCCTCGATTGTCTTCCTTTCTGTTACCGCTGGCAATAGTGTCCTCAAATATAATAAAGGAGCATTATAAACAATGTTCACAATTTTCAAGCTAATAAAAATTAGCTGTATATAAAGAGCCATGCTAAACAAACCCCCAGAATCTTGGGTTTCTTTGCTTCTCTGTGAAATTATTTTACTGCTGTTTGATAGTTTTTCTCCCCTGGATAAAATGTTCTGATTGACAGTTTCCCTGGCTTTAGTTAATGAAGTGAACCATGAATTCTTTTAGCGTTATTTGATTGCTCTGGCGTGCCAGTGCATGGTTCCAGCTCATCGTGGCTCACGTGGCAGTCACACGGCCCACCCCGCAGGGTTTTCTTGGTCTCTCCTGCCGAGAGCTGGGTGGGGTTTCAGCCACCAGCCCTTTCAGGTAGCAGCCAAATGCATCCCCACTGCATCGCCAGCACTCGTTATCAACCCGTTAGAGCATGAGGAAGGACCTCACAAGTGCAGGGTTCATGGTTGCAACAACAACAAATTAGAAAAGAAGCGAAGGTGATCAGTTAATGCATGACATTCGTCTGGAATTCTTATTTTAATCATTATGGGGAAGTAGGTGTCATTATGTCTTTTCTAAAGATGAGCAAATTGCTCAGAAAGGTTAAAAGAACTTGTTTAGAGTCAAAAGACTTTAACCTGTGGTTCAAAGGTACATCATGTTGACTCCCAAATAGCATAGCATTTAGATTAGTGGTGTCCTAACTTTTAAAAATCATTCATCCAATTAAGGGGGGGAAATTTAGCAGCGTTCTCCAATATCTTTATTTATTAACTATTTATGTATTTATTACCTGTGTTTTACTAATATGCATTATAAAGCATACTAAAGAAAGATGTGTAGAAATAGAATCTCAAGTTGTCCCCTCGGACACTCCTTAGGACATGTGTGCCCTATCATGGAGACTGCTGACCAAGGTGCTGATTTCTTGAAATGTGGACGTGAACACAATCGCTTGGGGGACTTTGAAAGTGCACATGACTAGACTTCATCCCACATCTGTTTCCATTCTCCCACCAGACGCTCCACAGCAGAAAGCGCCGGCCTTCTCCTCCTGTTAAGAAATAGGGTCTCAGAACCCCACAGGGCAGTTACCCTGTCCTACAGGGTTGCCACACGTTTGAAATGACTTGATGGCAGGGAGGTGTTTGTTTGTTTGTTTGTTTTCCATTTGGGAGCAAAAATTACTCACAAACTTTCCAAGTGATTCCTAGTCTCACTAGAGTTTGAGAAACTCAGTGTATCTTCTCTTAAATACAAGGGGATACCCCAAACCAACCAACAAACAAACATGAAAGGCTCCACTGGGCAGAGCTTTCGTAGTCCGCATTTTCCCCGCTAGGTGAGGCTCTAGCAACTTGCTGTGATTTCATGAACCCGTTGGCATCGCCTGGGAAGGTTCTCTCTGGTCACAGTGAATTTTTTCATAAAAGTAGTTTTGCGCGAACCTCAATTTTTGTGATGGCCAATTTAAGAGAACAGTGTGCTGCTGTGAAATTTTGTTGTCTGCTCGGGGAAAAAATGCCGCAGAAACTGTTGTGATGTTAAACACAGTTTCCAAGGACAGAGTTATGGGAAAAACTCAAGTGTACAAGTGGTTTTCTCGTTTCAAAAAAGGTGAAATGTCGATTGATGACAAACCTCGTTCTAGACTTCCATCAGCTTCCCAAATGGACGAAAATGTTGACTGGTAGTGCATTTGGATTTTGTTCCATCAGGTCACCCTGTTAATCAAGCTTTCTATTTAGAGGTTCTGAAAAGATTGCGTAACAGTGTGCAACAACAAAAATAAATAAAGTGTAGCAGACGGGGGACTGGTTTTCCCACCACGGCAATGCGCCTGCTCACACAGCCATCTCACTGTGCCACTTTTTGGCAAAAAAACCCAGCATGCCTCTCTTCCCTATGCACCGTACTCATCTGATCTTGCTCTGTGCGACATCTTTTTGTTTCCTCAAATGAAGAGGGACATGAAAGGAGATGAAGAAAAAAAATGAGGGAGGTGCTGTCAGCCATCCAAACTGATGAGTTTGAAAAATGTTTCTAAGAATGGAATCACAGATTTGACAAATGTATTAAGTGTAATGGAGAGTACTTTGAAAGTGATAAGGCTGTTTCGGAAAAAATTTACATAGCTTTGAAAAAAATTCCATTGGGGGGGTGCCCCCTCGTTAAGTAAATGTGCAACAGCTTTCCATTGTACTTGAAAGTAATTATTACATTTCTTGGACTTTTTTGGTTCACACCACCAGTTCTTGCAGTTGTTTCTCACATAATACAAATTTCAGCCTTCCCCGGCAGCATCTTTTTATCTCAATGTCTAGTTTGTGTAAACATCTAGTGTGAGCCACTAGATGTTTGCATAATTGACTCTGGTATTCACAGCGTGGTTTGAAGTTCAGTCGAGTGAGCGTAAAGAACCTCCATCCTGCAGACCCTGAAGAAAAGTTAAGAAATAAGCTTGTTTAAAAGCTGAAACCACCGTCATCAAAGAAAATGGGTGCAATTGGTCATCTGTGGACAGCATCCCACAAAAGAAGTTACTGGAAGAGAAGATTCTTAAGTGTTGCTACAAAAATAAACTGATCTTTCCAAGCTTGAGAAGACCTTGATTTGCCCCTAAAAGCATCTAAGAAAACATTTAATACACAACATAAATATAGTTCCCAGTTTAGCATCTAATCCTTATACGGAGTGAAGGCTGTCATCGTGCTGCTAAACAGCGGGAAAAGGAAAGAATTTGATCTCTCTGTCCGTAGCGCCTGCACCAGACAAGGCGAGCATTCTAGAAGACTCCTCTGTCACACCAGGCTTTGCTGGGCGTTCCCCCGGAAGAACACGGGCTGGTTGGAATCTTAAGACCGTTTCTAAAGTGACATCTGCTACTCATTTGCTCTGTGGCCTTGAGCAAGTTTACTGGCATCTTCAAGAGTTTTCCTGGTTTATAGAATGGAGACAACAGTGTTTGCCACACACCCTTCAGAGGGATATTGAAAGGCGGAAATGAAATGTATGGGCAAAAACTAACCAAAATTTCACATATTGTCTGTGAGATGATCAAGCATCCACGTAAGCAGTTCTGGAAAATAAGCAAATCGCTTTCTCTTTTTATTATTTTTAAATTTTTATTATAATATGGATGAAAATTCACCAAGAAATTTCATTTTCCAGTCAACAATTCATATGTTTCATTTTATGACAAGCTTGCAACCCTGCTTATGAGGCCCCGTACGAATCTTAATGCCCAACTCCTGCAGGTCAGATTATCGGAATGTCCGAATTCCATGAGTGAAGTAGTTTTCCCATGAGGACTTAAAGATTCTGAGTATTTCCTTTAATTTTTATAGCATGATTTCTTGGCAACCTCCTGTTTTCACAGTTCAAATCTAAACTTCACAGTGAATCGTTCTAAATTTACTCTGTAGTATATGTGAAGCAACACAAGACAGAAAAAGCTTTAAGAATAGAGATGCTTCTGGTAGCATTACTTATGTTTAAACACAATATAAATCTCTGAGATTAGGAGAATGGTTAAATATATTAAAATTACTCACAGAATGGGATTATATAGCTGAGTATTTATGAAGCATTTGAATGATATTATAAATACTAAGAGCTTTTAATGATTTCTACATATGCAAGGGGGCTTCAAAAATTTCATGGAAAATTCCATTATCTTTTTAAAAATTTATTTTAAAATATTTTTATTAATCATCTTATTTGGGGAGGGATCTTACAAATCTAAAGACAATCCATCATTCAGTTGTATTAAGCACACTTGTACATGTGTTGCCATCAACATTTCCAAAACATTTTCATTCTACTTGAGCCTGTTAGGTTTCTCAATAATGTTAGGTCTCTCGAGTGAGAAATACCTTGGTCCTTGGCTACGGGTGAGAAAGAATTCACGCTTAAGCCTGGTTTGTGATCCAAGTGAATTTTTTTTTCTAATCATTTTATTAGGGGCTCATACAACTCTTATCACAATCCATACATACATCAATTGTGTAAAGCACATTTGTACATTCATTGCCCTCATCATTCTCAAAATATTTCCTCTCCACTTAAGCCCCCGGCATTAGGTTCTCATTTTCCCCTTCCCTCCCCGCCCCCACCCCCATGAGCCCTTGATAGTTTATAAATTATTATTTTGTCATATCTTGCCCTGTCCGACGTCTTCCTTCACCCACTTTTCGGTTGTCTGTCCCCCAGGGAGGAGGTCACATATAGTTCCTTGTAATCGGTTCCCTCTTTCCTACCCACTCTCCCTCTACCCTCCCAGTATCCCCAAGTGAATTTTTTATAAAAGGTAGAAGCTGTCTCAGGCGTTACAGTAAACGGAGCACAGTGGACCTCGCGACAGCCACCCTGAACTGTGTAGTAGCCCTTGGGAGAGAGGGAGTGGTCTCCAAGTTTCTGGCTTTTTCAGATCCCCACTCCCCACCCCCATTGGGAGGTGTGGTCGAGGATACTGGTTAACCCCATTGGCTGAATTAAGTCCACCTGGCCTGGTTGGGGTCCCACCCAGGTTTACCAGCTTCCTGCCTCAAAGACCTGAATGTGAGCATGCCCTCTGGCCCTGAGCAGCTGCCAGCTTCTTCTAAGGGGAAGGGAGGCTTTGGCAGGTAGAAGGACAACCCCTAGTTCTGCCTCTAGCTACCTAACAGCCCTTGGTATCAGCTCTTCTTTTTTCCCTTGCCTCCACAGGCCTCCCACCCTCGTCAATCCTTGATTAATTATATATTACCTTATTTCATGTCTTATGCTGTCTACTGTCCCCCTTCACCCACATTTCTTTTATTCACCCCCCTGGGGGGTGGGCTATATATCCAACCTTGTCATGGGTTCCCCTTTTCTCCCCCTTCCCCTACCCCCTACTCCCCACACCTTCCACCTCACCATCCCCCTACCCTCATGATATCTCTACTCCCACTACTGCTCCTGAAGGTTTTATCTGTCCTGAATTCTGTGTATGGAGATCTCTTATCTGCACCAATGTGTGTATTGTGGCCTGGCCGCATTTGTAAGGTAGAACTGGGTCATGGTAGTACGGGGGAAGCATTCAGGAACGAGAGGAATGGTGTGTGTTTCGTTGGTGCTATACTGCACCCTGGTTGAATCATCCCTTCCATTAACCCTTTGGGGGGGGGGCGGATTTGTCAATTTTCATTTGATTTTTTCCACAAACTTTTTGAAGTCCTCTTGTATAATACTATTTTACACATGTAAAAAGACGTAGGAAAAACTCATAGAAATCCTCAGGTATATCAGTAATTTTCTTCTGGATGCAGAGTATGTATAATTTTTTCAAAACATGAATGTGCATTTATTTACTTTAAAAGTTAATGGTGTTTTAGGGAGCATCAAAATGAAACTATTTTAAAGTATAACTTTTAGTTTATGGTATATAGTACACATGTATACACGTGTGTAAATGAGTATATATGTTTCAGATAGATTGTACTTCCTAATTTGATATGTGGGGGCCTTGTCCAAACATGGGGAGACCTGGGGTTTATGGGGCGGTTATGTATTAGGCTGACATCCACATGGTTGGCAGTTTGAAACCACCCAGCAGCTCCACAGGAGACAGACTGGGCTTTCCACTCCCATAACAGTTACACTCTCGGAAACCCACAAGGGGTCGCTGTGACTCAGTGGCAGTGAGTTTAGTGTGGGGTTTCTACATTCTTCATTGATAACATAGTCTACAGAATTTGAAGCCTGTACGTGATGAAGGAGGGACAGTGGAGCTTTTAGAGCAGGCCATTCAGTGTGTCTCTGTTCTCTCGGCTGCAGGTGCTGATTGTCTGCAGCACAGGTTTGGCTGGGATCATGCTGCTCAACTACCAGCAGGACTACACAGTCTGGGTGCTGCCTCTCATCATCGTCTGCCTCTTTGCGTTCCTGGTCGCGCACTGCTTCCTGTCCATTTACGAAATGGTAGTGGATGTATTGTTCTTGTGTTTTGCCATTGATACAAAATACAATGATGGGAGCCCTGGCAGAGAATTCTATATGGATAAAGTGCTGATGGTAAGGACCTCAAATTCTCTCTACTGTTTTAGAGCTAAACATTCTATAAATATAATCGGCAACGCAGTCTCTATATTTCATGTCTAGTATACCAAACTCTGAGTGATTCGGAATTCGACTTGTAAAAGTCATAGATGGAGGCCCAGGGCACGTTCCCTTCAGATCCTCCAGACTGCAGCGGTACCCTTTGGGAGTCCTGAACTCGGAGAAATGTTGCCCCATAGCAGTTAGACAGATCTGACTTTCTAAATTTGCCTTGTTTGTAGTCCCTGACTGGAACCTAAGACCAGTGATGTTCCAAGTACATTTTCCTGAAGTAGGCTCACAGACTGAAAGCCATTATTTCAGTTAAGCATTGGATTCCTAACTTCAAGATCAGCAGTTCAAACCCACCAGCTGCCCTGTGGTAGAAAAGTGAGGCCATCTGTCTCTGTGAAGAGTAATTGTCTCGGAAACCTTATGGAGCCGTTCTCTGTCCTATAGGATCATTTTGAGTCAGCATCAGCTCAGTGACAGTGGGGATTGTTTGCTTGTTTATTTGTTCCATTGCCTGCTTACATTTCTCCATCTCTCAGTTTCTCAAATGTTCCTGCTGCCTTCCCTAGTTAAAGTCATCATCTGACCTGGGCCAGACCAAAGGGACAGTGTTTCTTCATGAATACAGCTAACAGGTCTGGGACTAGTAGATTATATTGTTTTCTACCCATCGAGATCTGAATAGTTACATGGATATTAAATTCAGATTCTTTACAGTTATGTTGCCTCTGCACCTTCTCTACATTACAACCTCAATTTTTAAAAAGTGTTAGGTTCAAATACATGTTAAATGATATAAAAATAGATATATTTTAATAATAATACTTTGTGATTAAGCTATAAGATATACCTACTCCAGCCTAGATAATATTGATAGACATTAAAATACCAAATCATCTCCCAAGAGCATATTTTGTTCAATTAAATCTAAAATATACTAGTAAATAGAGATATTTTCTGTTTGTTTTAATAGCCACATTTTAAAATGAATTAACCGACCTACCTGGTACTAATTACCTCTTCTGTTAAGAATATTATCAACTATGTTTTGGACATTTTCCTAATTGTAGTTTTAACTGGTTATTTTCCTATGGGAATTTGATCTATGTGAGCATTACATTTTAGTGTGTTTGTGGTTGAGACATATAGAAGATAGGCTTGCTTTTGTTATTAAATTTCTAAAAAGCAAGATGAACACTATAGCTTTTATCCTTTCCAGTTTTTGTTTGGGGGGGGTTTCCTGTAAAAATGATGAGGATATCAGTATTGCATAATGAAGAATTGCTCCACTAGCTTTGACAGGATAGAAATATTTCCTTTAGAGACGATTTCCATTTTTTAGCTACTTCTGACCTCATGTTCCAGTTGGTACCCCTCAACTTCCTGCTCCAAAATGTTCAAGTGTAACTGAAGTTTTTTAAAGGAGCCTATTTACGGTTTGATTACCAAAAAAAAAAAAAAGTAACCGTCTATGGTTAGTAGAATCAATCAGTGTTTTCTTTTGCCTTCTAGGGTTGTTTTAAAAAGGAGGCTTATGGACTAAAATGTTCTTGTTGGGAGAAAAGTAAAGCAATATCCTACGTGTAGGGGAAATAGCCTTTGAAAAAAATACTAGTTCTTTTCCCTTCCAAATGGGACTTCCCTTATCTCTCTGAGCCTTGGTGACAATGTCACAATGAATGGATGGGAAAAACTTCCCAGTGCTCTCTCCAACAGCATGGATCCTAACACTGGAACGGAAAAAGAGCTCCCACCTGTGGTTTGGATCCCTCCCCACAAAGCTGCCAGCTCCTGTGTGTGCTACTAAATATTATGTATTGTTAGAGTTTAGGTTGTTCATTGACAAAGCTGGAGTCTACGATGTCAGTGTGCTTTAGAATTTACCTACCACCTGAAGTCAGCAAAGGGCACAAGAATTTATGCACCTTGGTTCCTGTTTTGCAGGAGTTTGTGGAAAACAGTAGGAAGGCACTCAAAGAAGCTGGTAAGGGAGGCGCTGCTGATGCCAGAGAGCTAAAGCCGATGGTAGGTGGAGATGAGGAGGTGGCCACCCTCCAAGAATTTCACTTTCACTTCCTCTCTCTCTCTGTCTTCACTGACTGCACTTCTTCCGGGGAAGCTTTTGTTGTCTGTGTCACGCAGGACGTGCTGCTGTTTCTGTTTGTGGGCTTGCCCATCACTTGGATGGCAGAATTCTTGTCACAAATGAGACCATCTGCTGTGAAAGCAAGCTGAAAGGAACGGCCCCTTCTTCGGGGCACAAGGTGTCGGGGAGGGGATGGGGGAAACTTTGACCCCCACGGGAAATTGCAGGTTCTCTTTTTTATTTTTTGCCAGCTCTCAGTGTTTAGTTTTCACCAAACTGAGCGTTCGGTTGTGCATTTGACCCAATGATTTGATTGGCCTTTTTTTTTTTTAATCATTTCAGAAGCTCCTCATAGCAATTCCTTTCAGCTTGCTAAAATCATATTTTCCATCATTATTTATTTTTAAAATATTGTTCTGGCCATGTTGCTTTTTTCATTTGTGCACTTCCTCCTCTGCTGCTTCGATTGCACTTTCTTTGTTCCTTAAGCAAGCTCCGTTTTCTGTCGCAGAGGAGACACTGTGCATGAGTGTTCACCTTTGCACCCAGTGGAGCCACTGGCTCATCCTGCCCCAGCTTCGTTTTGAGAGAGTTGCATTTTCTCTGCTCCGCCGTGTGTGTGGATTTCTGTGTGAGAAAGCAACCTGAAGCTCATCGGTGCAAGAGCCTCGGAGCGGCTTTTCCAGTACATGCGCTCACCATAGCACAATGACAGTCATCTCTGACATACATTGATCCTGATCACTGTCCATTGTACAGAGAGTAGTTTTGCTTTAAAATATCATCTCATTGACCAAGGCCCTTAAATAGTTTATTTTAGACAACATGCCATCTAGCTGCTAGAATGTCCCAAAATGTGAGGACTTTCCTCTCTTTCTTCCTTAACATTTGAATAAAACATTATTCAATTATTATAAATTATTATAAATAAATCTATAATGTATAGATTTTCAGCTTAATATATGATATAAAGGAGCCCATTTCAGTAAAGGAAGTAGATTAACTTAGTCGACTGGGGATGGATGGATATATATGTATATGAAAAATACTTGCATATTAGAATAAAGGTTCAGCAAAATATTTAGATCTAAACCTTTTATAACTCTGTCTAGTGCCTGTTTGGTGGTGGTCTTCATAGTAGGAATGATTACACGGTTAAAATCCAAAGTTTCCTGTCCCCAGACACAGACCACTTTCATTAGGAGTGAAAAGATAAAGACTAGCACAATTGCTCTTAGATTGAACTGGGCATCCACCGGGGCTGGCTTAAGAGGGCGGAAGGGAGACGAGATGAGAGTCCCTCCTGCTAGATTCTTTGCTTCTCCCACCAATTTGCTCTGTGTCTCTCCTACTCCCACATAGGCTAAAGGCACGAGCCTTGGAAACTCCGCCTAGCCTTTGAAATATGGAGAAATAAGGCTTAGGTCCTTCCAGTATTGGATTGCCCGAATTGTTCAGCCAACAAAGGTTTCAAGCCTAAAATTGAAAAGAACATAACAATCTTACTTTGCAGACACACCTCACTTAGCGTAACTCATCTTTCCCACTCGCTTCTGTCTTTTCTGTGACTAAAGTGCCCCTTCAAGCATTCTTTAGGAAGAAGCACTCACAGGTATTTGAACATTTAGGTCTAACTACCCTGGCTATGAATTGGCAAGTGTTCTTGCGTTATTCTTCAATGCACGATAGACGATGCAAATGCACCTTCTTGCCAAATGGCTAATTTACAGTAATAAGATGAGGATGAATCGGGTGATGTGACATCCCACCAGAAACAACATTTCAAAAGAAAATGTCCCTGACACTAAGTTTTAAATTAATGGCCCTCGCCTCAGACAGTGCATCCAAATCTTCATTCCGTGTCTGTTCCTTAACTTATGCTGTTACTGCTTCGTTTGCCCTAAAATGTGATGTTTTAAATGGTTAAAAGTTTCCCCAAAAGAGAAGTGCGAAATATTGCTCATGGAGTAAGTTTATTTTGTAAGCCCAGCCGGACCTCTATTGCTTACCACTCTTTCACAGTATACGTGATTAGCGTTGGTCCCTGCTTCTGCTACCACTTGTTCACGTCTCTAAAGAATTACCTGCCAGGGTTTCCCGAAAGCTTGAGGATTGGTAGAATGTAGGGTTGCTTACTTGTATTTCCTCGCTTTCGTTCCCACGTTATTCCCCTGGAAGGTCTCTTTAGAAACACGGCCGTGTGCATTCACTGCCTGTCTTCTTTCTAAATGGGATTTCTTAATTTAGGATTTATTTTCTTCTTAGAGAGTATTGCTAGGGAAAAGTGAGGTTTGAAAATTTCATTTGGACAGAGGGACATTGAACTAACGAGAGGAACTTCTGGTTTTCCTCTGGAACTTTTTTGTTTGTTTGTACTAAAGAAAGCCTTGAAAGTTTGCGAGGTCATTTTACAGTCTACTGGGAGTTATTCTGGAGAGAATAACTTGTGACCAAATGTGAAGGCTAGTTTTAGGAAGAGCTAGTTTGAGGCCGTACAAAAGCCTGGGTTGGAGACGTGTGCTCTGTATGTCTCAAAGGTGAGCTCATGGGAAGCACAGTGTGACGCGTGCTCAAGGAGCACAGGAATCCCAGCCCCGAGGACAGATTCACCATCCTGCCGTGTTGCTGTTTGTGACCATATGTACACTTGTGACATCATTCATGCTCTTCCTTTAGTGGTCGTTGTCTAAGATTATACTCTGTGTGACTTTGTTTTCTAGGCTGCGGGAGCAAGTTCTGCTTGAACCTAGCCGACCGTTATGGAGCCCATTGACATTCCAAAACAATATATACACATAACTATGTATTTGTGTGTGGGTGGGTGTGTCTATGCATAGGTATATATACACACACACCTAAGCAGCCAAAATCAGAGAAAAGGAACAGGGATTTAATACCTTTTTTATGCTTATTTTTGTCAAACATGTACTCCTCCTTTCATACGGGTGGCTTTTACAAGGCAACTTCCGTCATTTAATGTTTTCAATTGTAATTGTCTTAATGGAAATGTTAAGATTCATATCTGATTAACATTTTTAATAACTTAGAGGAGATTTTAACTTTAGTTATTTAAATTAGATAAAAATTAGTGTACCAAATTCTTTGTTTAAAAGTTTTCAGGGGCGCGTCCCTGATGTGTGTACAAAATCAAGATCTTATTTTACTGATGCATATGGCCTAGTGGGACAAGACTAGGCTCGTGCGCTCAGATAAATAAGCACTCACTTCAGTCACTGTCCCCCAAGCCAAGAAGCCATGCCATTTTCCTTTTAGAAACATGCAAGTGGGCCCAATAGGGGAATTTCCATAGTAGGTCATAACATTCGTCAGCGAACGTTAAAGACTAACCAACTCCTCAGGAATTCGTAGTTTACCCTAATGCTTCTATAAAAGAGAGTAGGTAAAAAAGAAAAGGGTAGATAACCTTTCTTATGCAAACTGTTTTCTTATAGTTTGTCTTTCCTTTTTCACTGTGGTAGCATCCTCCACACAGTTGTGTGCCTGGTTTGAAAGGAAGCTGGGCACCCAGCAAGTGCAGCCTTTCCGTGTCTGTGTAGTGATGTGCAGAGTAAGTCATGCGAGGAGGGAAACGGAGGGAGAGGAAGGTGCTGGGGCTTCTGCTGTAGGGACAACAGTGACTTCGGGCTGAAAGGCCATTTCATGTATCTGCTTGCTGTCAACTCAGAAAACACACTGGCAGGTGCGCCTCTCCTGGGAACGTCACTCAGTATCTAGACTTCTACAATGTGTAACTGAAGAACTGGTTCATGTTTAATCCTCAAGTGTAGATTGTGCTTTTTGTTTGGGGGTGGGTCTTGGTTTTGTTTCTGTTTTTGTGTTTTTATTCCTGAAGCTTACCAGATATGAATGGCTAATATTTCACTGTTCCGCTTATTGTAATGGTGAATGCTTTAAGAAAAAAAAAAGTGTAATTTGCTAAGAATAATTCATGATCTGTTTATGCGATAACTCCTTTTTGTTACAATTTTTTTAAGAAAAGCTATTTTTGTTAATGTAAAGTAAATATTTCAGAGCAAATTTTTTAAACTTATTGCACTAAATATAGGCTCTGTACAAAAAAGAAAAAGAAAAAAAAAAGCCTCCGCATTTTATCATTCCATGGAAGGAGACTCTTTTGAAAGAAAGCATTGCCTCCTACCAGAATAAGACAGTGATTTAGAACGGTATTATAGGAAAGCGTACAATTAATGTCACCAGGGCTTAATAAGCAGCTGTTCGCTAATGTGCTTCCTTTCAAAGGGTTAGACCTTTAAATTGCTGCAAAAGGTAAACTGTATTTTTTTTTTTAAGTGTCTGTGTTCTTTCGGCGGCAAATTGCTAAATGCCTTGGTTTAATTTTCAAAGCTCATGTGATATTTCTGATTTTTCAGAATCTTTGCAATAACAGCCTCGGTTTAAAAATAACAACTCACACTTTAGAGCTCATGTCTTGGCATGAACGGGGGAAACACCATGGTGTGAGTAGATGCTCTGAAACAATAATTCTCCAGAAGTTACTATCTAGTGACACCAAACCACATCACTATACTTTTTTTATATCCTTTGAAGTGGAATCAATACAATTATGTAACTACCAGTTGTCCAAATCAGTGAGAGAGCAAGTGATGGAAAAAAATTAGAATACCATCTGTTTCATAGTCACCGATTTTGAACATTCCAAAACATGGGGAACTAAATTTAGAGTTGGCAAAAGTCTGGAAGAGGTGTTTCAGAAAAAACCAAACGAACCCAGAAGACATTCCAGGACCTAGCTCTTTGACGAGGTCTCCCTGCAAAGTGACCTGATCGAAGTCGGTGGGAAATTGGGTTCCGCTCACGGGGACATCCCAGCATCATGGACTCTTGCTGTTCCCTGTTCCACATGCGTGCAAGCTCAGCTATTTGGAAGCCACCAGGAATGCTTTCTAATCATCATTTGCAACCAGGACTGTAATCAGAAAGAAATTTTGTATTTTTGTATAACTTGATTGTGTGCCATTTTCTATAACAGGTCCTGTTTGACAAATAAATTTTGATTTACTAACATTGTGTTCACAAATTATGATCTATGTTTAACCATGTCATTTGAGTCTCAAATTAATTGCCTGAGTTTTTTCCCTAAGTAAATGTGTGTGTCATGCAGATATAGGCACATAGGCACATGTGGTACACAGACACCTACAGGGAGAGATTGGATATGTAGAATATCACTCTCCTATAAAACGTCATTCCCTGATTAATTTCATAAAGCCTCCCAGAGGCTTTGAGCGCTGTTTGAATGTGTTGAGCTTATGTTTTGGTATTCCTGCTGCCTCTCATTCATCGCAAAAGCATTCTTGAGCTAGCTCTGGGCTGCCTTACTGCTACTCGCTCACTGCCTCCATAGCCTACCCAAGTGAGAAGACTCAATGAAGAACAAAAACAAGCAAACAAAAATTGTCTGAAATGGGGGGTACCGGCATAATTTTATAAGCCATTGACTACATGTTGTGATTTTTGTCCTTCTCTGATGGATCTTCAAAACTGTGCTCATGACTCAATTCTAGAGCCAGACTTTGAGTTCTCTGCTCTCAGTATATTCTTATCATGTTTGCCATCCCATAAAACTACACCTGTCTAGGTTCCTGCCTTAAGTGTGACTTCGGATATAATAGAATATGGAAGGGAAAATGTTATGTTTCAGTGTAAGTCCAAGAGGACCCATCTTGTATGGGAGGCTTAGCGGCACAACAGTAATAAAACACTGGGAATCTAGCCAGGGCACTGAGATTGTATAATCCCTGAATGGGTGAACAGAGCTCAAAGCAGGACGTTTCTTTAAACCATTTAATGCGATGTTTAATGTTTAGGATTAACATGTCAATCTTACCCTATAGCAAAATCAAGGCCTAAGTCCCTGGGATTTAAGTAGCTTAGCTGTATATAGCTTCTCACACTGTTTTCCATAAGAGTGGAGGAGGAGGCAGCAATTCCTGGATGCATTTAAAACGTAGGCCAGAAATAGGTTTCCCTGTGTATAGATGCTCTCTTACTCGTATCCCCCCCCCCTCAAAGGGCGCGAAGTTACTGTCTGTAACCTCTTCCCAATATTGCTGACCTTGGTGTCTGTCAAGGGCGCCTTTGCTTTCCGGGGGGCAATTTCAGGATTCATCCCTAAAGTGGGATGTAACCCCCTCCTTAATCCTGGTCCTGAGCGGCTTTCCTCCCCTCTTCTTCCAAGCAGCTGTAGGAACAGCAGCCACCAAAGCTGTAGAGGCCGGGTCAGCTCCAGCCATTTCAAGCCCGCGCCACCTTATCTGCTTCCAGCTCTTTCATGGGGTCCCCCAGCCTGCAAAGTAGAATTCTGGGGTCCGTGTCAGAGCCACCAGTCAGGTGACTTGAACGTTTTATCTGAATGTCTTCTCAGTAGCCACCTTTGAATTTTTGGAGTTTCCAATAGCCGTAACATTGTCTCTGAGAAATCTGCTTCAGCAAGATCTTTAAGCATTCCTCTCTTAACACGTAAGTTCGCTTTTGCTTTTTTCTGGTAGTCGCTGCTACTAAAAAACAGCAACAAATCCCCAAGGTCTGGAGGCTTATCCATGCACCTGCCACAGTTAGGAGCTGTATTCTCTTCGTCATTTCACCGGACGGCTAGGTGTGCACTATAATGGCTTGGCCCGAGTTGCTAAGATGTGGTCTGTGAATATATATTGGAAAATTGTGGGCTCATAATAGGAAGTGCACATAGCAGAGCTTTGTGTATTATGTATTCATGGCATAGAATGCCTTGTACTTTGGATGCATATTCATGGATCCGGGTGCTAAGGAGTGCATGTCAGCCCTTTTGAAACATGGGCGCTGTTCATGCAGAGTGGCTGCTTTTGGAATTAACTCATCTTTGCTGGGTGGCACATAGCCCCCATTTCGAGAAAGCATGACCCTCGTGTGTGCTGAGAGAAAATTTAAAGCTAAAGCTAGCCTTCGCAGGGCAAAAACTAACTAGCTAACTAAACAGGCCATCTTTCTTACCGATTTTAAATAGTACACTTTCCACCTTCAAATTTTATAAATCTGAGGCAAATTCTTATACTCTGGATCTTTGAAAATACCTTTCTTAAAGAAAACTTCAACGCAGGTTTTTAAACGTGATCATTTCAGTGAAATTGCCCTGCTTTTCTATAGAACTATGACAGTGCCCTGTCTTGCCCTCCGTCTCCTTGAGTTTTTAATGCATCTTACAAGGACAGATGATGATTTGGCTTTCATATTCCTTGAGCAGCCGCAACTTTTAAAAATTTTATGGTCAAGATTTAAGTTTGATGTTGTCTAACAGAATTCACAAGTAAATTCACTAGTAAAAATTATTCACTAATAAAGGGATCAAAATGTTAGGGAATCAAATAGTAGATGACTTAGTTCCAATTTGACAACTCACTTGATTCCCTGAGGAATCAAACACCTAGACCAGGGAGCTCAGAAAAATAAAGTTTTCAAGTTCCTGATCTAGTGCAATATATCCTTGAAGATGAAAACATGGTCATTCCCAAACGTTTCCGGTTTCACTTGTATTTGCTTAGATAGGAGCAGAATTTAATAATGGATAGTCAAAAGCAGATCCTTACATTTTGAGGAGGTCATGAACCCCTTTGAGAATCTTATGAAGGCCATTCCCCTCGCCCCCCCCCCACGCCCCAACTGCACAGATCAGTCCTGTGAACCTCTTAACTGCGACCAGAGCCCTCACACTGCCAGCCTCCACACCGCTGCCCCCTCAGAGGCTTATGAACACAAATTATAAACCTGCTCTAAAGTCGAATTGGTAACATGTGAAATGATGGAGTGATTGGGCCTCCACAGAAGAAGGGTTTCAGACAATCCTTACCACCGCCTCGCCTCAAATAACTTTTATAACTTGAAGACTTGGTCTAATTGTGGTACCAACTGTGGAAATAGAAGCCATGCTAATCTGCATGAATAATGAGCTGGTCAACAGTGACTCTTCCAGTGAGTGAGACTGCCCTTGGGTGTGACAGGCGTATATCCCAGAGGGAGTTTCTGGCAAACTACTAAATTATTTACGGTGGCCAGTAAGTTGAAGAAGAAATGGATAGAGAATGTTCCGATTATCTATTTACCAAAATGATGATTCTGTTTCTGATAGTACATGTATGATGTCCTTTGGCATAGAAATAACAGTATTTAAATATATAGCCATTAACATGACCGAGAGCAGTAAAAAGATGATAAAGTAGCTAACTAAATGCAGTTAGTCCAGTGTTGACAACACCACACACACATACCCTTTTTTCCCCAGAGAGTTTAAGGGACAAATATCGGGGGAATAAAGTAAAATACTATTCTCCCTCCCTCATTAAAGCAGAGCAACGTTTCCGGTTTCGGGTGTTTTCCAGGCACCCTCTAGAGCAGGCTGGGACCACTCGCCCAGTGGAACTCCCTCTCCAGTGCCCACATTCACTCCATCTTTCTTCTTTGGGAGACACCTAGGTTTCTTCACGTCTGCACCTGACATTAAGGTGAGGGTCCTCCAACTCTATAGAAGTCTCTCAAGGCTCTTGAGAGAGAGAGAGAGAGAGAGAGAACAGGTCGAAATCTTGAAGTTTTTAGTTCTTATAAATTTTCACCCTCCTGGGCACATGACTTATAATAGGACATCAACGTACACTTCCCAGTTGAAGAGGGTAGTGAAACAGTGATGAAGAATGGCCAAAAAACCAGCTCCCTACCCCACCTCACACCTTTAAGAAAACCTTAGTGACCTGTCCGCAGCAGTAAATGGAGAGACCACCAGAGGGAAAATCTAGCTAGGAAAAGGGCCTGAGTCTGCATTTTTGACATGTTCTTTTGTCACAAAGTGGATGGCTTAAGGGAAAGTTCTGACCTTCCTCGATGACCTGCGCTCCCATCCCAACAGCCAGGAATGCAGTGGGAGTGGGCCATGTTTTGGACCAGCCCATGTGAGTGAAACGTAAGCAATAAGAAGGTAGGGGAATAAACAGGCACAGACCTGGGGGAAGCTGCTGCCCAGCTTCCCGTGGACCAGTCTCCTTGTCTTTCCACAATCTGATGCCTGATCATTTACCAAGGAGGCAGGGCAGGATCTTTTTTGTGAATTGTTTTCGGTATCTCACAGGAACATGCAATTACTAGAATCACTTTGGTGGCTCCTGGTTTTAAACAGAAAAATTCCTACCACCCATTTGGTTTCCAACAGGTCAGCGTGCTCAGGGGTTTTTTTGGTTGTGTGGGTTGGTTGGTTGGTTTGTTCTTTGTGGTGGTGGTGGGGGTGCTTAGTCTTGGTAGTTTTCATTTTCAATTATGTTCACTTAGGGAATGTCACCTTTTGTATTAATCTTAGTGTTCTTAGATTGTCTTGTGTTTTCTCATTTGTGAGGCTCTGCTCCGATAAAGATTTACAGTCTTGGAATCAATGCAGGGTCACCGGGAGCTGGAATTGACACCGATGGATTTAAGGGTTAGGGCTCCCAGGGGCTCAGGTGTTAGCTCTCTGGTGACCTAAAGGTCGGGAGTTTGACCCACCAGCTGCTCTGTGGGGGAAATACGTGGCAATCTGCTTTGTTTAAAGATTCACAGCAGTGGAAACCGAATGAGGCAATTCACTCACCCTCTATGGCCAAGTATGAGTGGAAATCAACTAGAAGGCCATGGGTTTGGTGAATATGAAAGGTTAAGGAGCCCTGATGGCACAGCGGTTAAGTGCTCAGCTACTAACCAAAGCGTTGCCCTTGCCAACTCACCTCCCACTTTCTGGAAGAGGGATGTGATCCCCTGCTTCCCTAAAGACAGACACAGGGATAGCCCCGCTCGGTCACATCGACTCAACGGCATGCCTGTTACATAAGGGTTACCAGCCGTTTTGCTGACACGGTCTCAGAATGTTCTGGATCACTGCAGGGCCTTGTGATAGATTGTGCACCTGTCAAGTAAGTTTAGTGACTTGACTTAATGATTTGATTAGAGGAAAGAAGGAAATTCGAACTCACAAAAAGATGAGGAGAAAACTGTGGCGGACACCCCACAAAA